TGAACGTACAGGTTTATTTAATATTTATCTAATTTCATTAGTAGATAAAATTCGATATAATAAAGTCTAATTTCATTGGTAGATAGACAATATTATATGGAGTTTGCGTACTGTGGAAAATATAATTTAATAATCAGGTAATCTGTGCAGATTAAAAATTTAAATTAATTGAATGAAATCTATCTCAGAAAGAAATATGCGAGAAGGAAAATTTGGACAATCTGTACCAATAAAAATAAAAACACCAGATGTAGACAGCGAAAGATGTTCTAGCGAATCGAATTATACGATAACTTTCAGGAGTAATTATGTCAGGTTTTTAAGCATTAATGTTTCATTATTTTCATGTTCAATATGTATAAATACAATTTGTTTACAACGGAAGATGAAAATTATAAATTAGACACAATCAAAGATACACCACACCGATTATTATTATCTAGAATCTAGTTTAAAATTTACAAGTAGATATTTCAAGTAGTTAGGCTATTTTTTGATTTAGGCCAATATTATTATGAACGTTGCATTTGTGTCCCGGAATACGATACAAGGGAATGCAAATGTAAAGTTATTGGAATATTCAATAACATCGAATACCATAGTGACAACACGTGTAAAAATAAATAAGTATTTAAACATAAACCTAATATTATTATTATTGTAATAATTATTATTATTATTTCTCTACGAAAATTTAAGCATCATATTAAATACTTTTAGACTCTGAGTGAAGCGAAAAAGCTTGTGGTTTTACAAAGATGTTAATTTTTTTTTTATCTACGGACAACTTTTCTACCAGAAACCTTGCTCCAATTTTTAGGTGTAACAACTTTTATAAAAGGAAATCGGACCGGGGAAGTACTTTAAAAAGATCATTTTTCGATTATTGTACACATTTCCTGGTCAATATTTTTTGCTATTATTATTATTTACTAAATTTGACAAAATAATTGACATCTACGACTTGTTGATATACTGTGATTTAGAGTAGAGTTTTTAAAACAGGTTTTTTGTTTTTTTTTTTTTAATTTTCGTGAAATTCGTCGTACTTTGTACGTGTAGAAGATTTATCTCGAATCACCAAGATTTAAAGTCTATAATATGGTATGTACAGGGTAAAATATAATTTATTGCATGGTTAGTCGGAGCCTAAGTCTATGTTAAGACTGGATGGTTATTAGATTGTAAGCGTGGGGTTTTATAGTATTTTGAAGTGAGATTGTCGTTATTGTTTATTGATTTAAATGATACTCGTATATAATATGGTACATAGTTACAGTATAATTATTTTGTTTTCTACAGATATATGAAATAGTAATATAGTTTTGTGTTATAATATATTGATTTACGATTTTGTGATTAATTTTAAATGTATATTAGGTTATCTTAATAGTATGTTTATTTATTTTGCGTATGGTTTATGGTTTATGCATTAGTTCATGCACTAATTATAATATGGTAAAGTACGGTAAATCTAACTAATGTATAACAGATAAATAAAAATGAAGATGAAACAAAAATAGGGTAATTAGTAGTATTACTACTAATATTATGTTGATGATGATACACGAGTATCAATACAGTATTTTTTTAAAATTGTTTCAAATTTCCCAACCTATTTCCCGCGAAAATCACTTTTTGTTTATTTTTTGACCGTATACTTTCGGCTATACGATATTTGTGTAAATACTCGCGATTATATTTTAAAGAATTTTGCTGACATATTTTATGCATACATTTTATTTTCACCAGAAGACATTACAAATTTAGATACCCCGCCATAAATTATACGAAATTTGTACACTTTAAACAAAAAACACAATTATACATTTATATAGTATTATCTTTAATTACTATTAAAATGAATATGAAATATAAATATACAATATAAGATTTCATATAAAAACAAAATCAATGTTTAAGACGGGTAATATAATTGTAATCGGGCTCGTCCGTTCAAATCATAATAAATAAATAATTTAGGGAGGAGGATATGTATTTATATAAATTTCACAATACACAATTTTTGAGAATAATAATGAAAACTGTACTTTAAGATATAGGGTGGTTAATTCATTAACTGTAGTTAAGCATGTGTGGTTACATTTTGCGTATATTCGAATTCAGATTTTTCAAAATATGAGAACCTGTATACAAAATCTCATAAATAGATGTTGTATTAGTTTATATATATATTGGTGTTAAAATTTTAGATTTTCGTCAATTCGTTAACCAGATATTCCTCTTTTAAGTATATGGGTAGGGAGAGAATAGTGGAGCACTATAAAAACGCCGCTTTTCGTGCAGCCACACTAATGATGATTTTTCGACTGTTGTATTTATTAGTATTTTAAAGTAAAATAACTCAGAAACTGTTCGCTCAGATTTTGATTAAAATAAGTCATCATTTTCAGAAAAATCATCTGATTTACAATTTGCATTTAAACAGGTAGGTTCTCATTTGAAAAACTAAAGTTGTCCTCCCCACAGGGTACTCCCTAAACGTTGTGAAAATTTATGTGTTTGAAAATATCGACATTAATTATTACACTTAAAATTTACAAAAATCGGAATATGAACGTATGCAGAGTAATAAATGGTTTGAACGAAAACATGATAATATTGTGACCCGTGATAATAATAACATTACACCTGGGTCCCCCTCGAACCGAACTGCCGTCACGGACGAACACGGTGTAAACAATAATAACAATAATTCGCCTTCTCGAGACGCGCATAATAAAATCATCTTCGGCGCCAATTTTTTATCATTGTTACCACAAGTGTGGGCATTAAATAACAGGTGCCTGTATTTATTATTATACATAAATAGTCATAATCCTCTTGTACGCGTTGACGATGAGTGCGTATATAGGTACGACTATCATTCAATTGAATTGAATATACCCGTGAAGTACGTAAAACGAGTTTTTTTTTTATGTAATAGCATCGTATTATTATTATTATTATTACCATACACACAATATTATTTTATATTGTCTATAACCATAATATGTAAACACAACTAAAATATTAAAAATAATATTATTGTTGTCCGATTGTCAGTTTCGTAATACGCGAGACAAAAAGTATCGCGTATACTTACGTCTTTATAATATTAAAGACCGGAATCATATTATATACTAAAAAAAATTGCTAAATACGATGAAAATATGTATAGTATAGATGACAAAAACTATATGCACATAAAACTTTCACTTATATGTACTAGTATACAACGTAGAAAAATCTATTTCCAAAAAAAAAAAAAAAATGGAAAATAACATCTGCCATTAACTACGCAATTATTATTCGTTCTTTGATAACATCATTGATATTACTAATATAGCAATGTAAACACTGAACTATTTTGGATAAAAAAAAATTAATTTTCCAAACTAAAATATTACACTTTTTTTGTCAACGTTTTTTTTTTTGCTATATTTTTGTTTATTAAACTTGCCGATCGACAAACTATTAATTCTCGTTGTTAATGTATTATTTAAAAGAGATGATAGACCATTAATTTACTAAGAGTGTACAAAATATGCAAATGGATGCATCAATTAAAAATTATAATTCATCCTTTTAAATTTGCATCATTATGCAAAATAAACTTCGGTCTATGAAATCAGTTTGGTTCGAAACGCCTACATTTCAAACCCTTCTTGTGATCTGCATACACTCAGTATGAACATGCAAATATTGCAAATGCATACAATCTTGGACCCAAATTAAAATATTTAATATTTATTGTACTACGTCAGTTTCTAACGAAATATTTTTGGACGAATAGAGAATAATGATAAACTAATAACGCTGTTACACGATTTTACGGGCTTCTTCTGGTCTTCGATATTTCGATTGATGGGTGGCTGTAGATCTCCGTGCTTCTAACAAATTTCCAATCTTTCAACTATCGGTAATTCTATCCATTCCCACGCATATATTATGCGAAATTAGTCCAAATATTTTGAGAGGATGGGGACTCAATATTGATTACGTATATTTACTTAGTATTAATTTGTAAGGATTTGATTTGGTAGGGGAACTTGACTCAGTTTTGAAAAAGAATCCTCTAAGCCCCCTCCTATTCGTGACAATGTTCTTGCATTATTCCGTATTCCACCCTTGATCTTTTTCTTTTGATTTTACCTAGCTTTTATGTAACTTTTAATAATCGACTTTAATAAACGTCAAACACTGTCATATTTTTTATTTTTGAATTACCCCTTCTTTTTTTGTAACTAGCCAAAGTTGTATTCTTACCTTAATTATTCTTCAGATTTTCTTTGAAGAAATACAAATTTAAGTTAAAAATATATTTATACAAATCTTAATTCATACTTAAGTCTATAAAAAAAAAAAATGTTTTATAGGTGAGCGTTTGAAGTTGAAATGTTAAAGAAATTCGTAAATTAATATATTATCTAACATTCAGTATAATCATTTTCGATTATAACGTACGTGGCTAATATAATGATTAAAAACGAGAAAAATTAATACATTTTTTAATAAATTTAATCATAAAATAATATACAAAACGATCGAAAATTAATAATTAAATTAAACTATAAATTATTAAATTAAATTAATTATTTTAATCTTTTTAGCTTATGTTTTATATCGAAAAAAAATTAAGTATACATTTAGATACCAATACAGTTGACACGTGTTTTATAATATGTACCGGGTAGGTTTTTTTAATTTTTTTTTGAAAACTGACCCTGAAAACAACGGGTCGGCACGTACGCCGGTATCAGCAGGTATCGCAATGCAATCAATAACAAAAAAATATTATATCATCAATAACAAAAATCCATGTCATTATTATACCATCTCGTCGTCGGCGGTCGTTGAGCATGTAATGTTGTTGTACCGCTGGCGAAAGGCACGCAATCGATTTGACGGAGGGGCGCCGAGGTGGACAACAACAACAACAACAAGCTGCGGCGGCAACCGTGGTAGTAGAAGTAGTCGACATCGACTGTAGCGAGGGAAAGAAAAATAACATCACACGCCAAAACTTCGCATGACTTCGTATTCATATCGACTACGGGAACGGATCGTTGCGGTCCAGATCCGCACGTAATGACGATGGCGAGCTGTACCGCGAGATTGTTGCAGTGCTCGGTGATTGCAGTGGTGGCGTTGTCGTTGGCCCGGCCCTGCCAAGGCATGGCGTACACGGTGTTTCAGGCGGCCGTCGAGTACTATCGGATATTGTCACCGGAACCGGCGGACGCGGTTAGGGACGCCACTTACGTCCGGCGGGAATACGACTTCGTGGTGGTGGGCGCTGGTTCCGGTGGTTCGGTGGTCACCAACCGATTGACCGAGGTGGCCGGATGGTCGGTGCTCTTAATCGAGGCGGGCGGCGAGGAGAACGCCATGACCGAAATCCCGTTGTTGGTCAGCTACCTGATCGGTTCGGGATTCGACTGGGGCTACCGGACCGAGCGCCAAGAAGGAATATGCGGTGCCATGGAAGATCATCGATGCCGGTGGCCGCGAGGTAAGACCATGGGTGGAACAAGTGTAATCAACTATATGGTGTACACCCGGGGCGTGCCGGACGACTATGACCACTGGGCCCGGTTAGGCAACGAGGGCTGGAGCTACGCAGATGTGCTACCTTATTTCAAGAAGTCCGAGGACCTGAGACAGCGACCGCTGACCACGTACGGTCCCTACCACGGTCGTGGAGGGTACCTGAAAGTGGAGGAACCCTCTTGGAAGACCCCGTTAGGTCCGGTGTTTTTGAGAGCCGGTCGCGAACTCGGGTACAAGGCGCCTGCCGACCACAACGGTCCGCAGCCGCTGGGTTTCTCGTACGTGTTGGCCACAACGGACCGCGGTACTCGGTGTAGTGCGTCCAAAGCGTTCTTGCGGCCCATCCGGAACAGGCCAAACCTGACCGTGACCAAGCGGTCGCTGGTCACTAAGATACTCATCGACCCGGAGACGAAACGTGCGTACGGCGTTAAGTTTGTCAAAAACAAACAAACGACGGTGGTGTACGCGCGCAAAGAGGTCATAGTGAGCGCCGGGGCGCTCAACTCACCGCAAGTGCTAATGCTTTCCGGCGTGGGCCCGGCAGACCATTTGCTGGAAGTCGGCGTGCCCCTGATCAAAGACCTCAAGGTGGGCTATAACCTGCAGGATCACGTATCCATGGCTGGTCTAGTATTCCTGGTCAACCAGTCAGTAACCATTGTGGAAAGCCGGTACCGGAACCCCAAGTACCTAGTCCAGTACGCTCTCAACGGTGAAGGGCCTTACACCATACCTGGTGGCGCTGAGGCTTTAGCGTTCACGGCCACCCGTTACGCCGTGAACGGATCCTCAGCTCCAGACATGGAACTGGTGTTTGGCCCCGGGGCCCTGACCGGTGACACGGGCGGTTCGTTGCGCCGGTTGCTCGGCATGAACGAATCGTTTTACGACCAGGTGTACGGCAAGTTCAAGGAACACGACGCCTGGGGTCTGGTGCCTATCTTGCTCAGGCCCGTCAGTCGCGGCCGTGTAAAACTTAGATCGGCTAATCCGTTTCACGCGCCGCTGTTCTACGCCGGCTATCTGACGGACAGGCGGGACCGGGAAACTCTCATCGAAGGCATAAAACAGGTATATCGCGCAATCGTATTAATGGTCTTGGTATTTTTTTTACAAAAAGAAGTTTTTAATTGTTATATTGTGCATAAGCTCTGAATTACAGCAGGTCACTAGGTTAGGTTAGGGTTCCTTCATTGTTACGATTCAAGTCAGATAACTATTAGTAGGTTAACATTTTACAAGTTTAAAACGTCATTCTCGTACACTGATAGTAAATTCAAAAAATCGAGAATAATATACTAACCGAGTTTGGGACACGTACCTAAATACAATCGAGGGCCCCTCCTATAACCATCTGGTCCCGATGACTCCCATTAAATCCTGCAGGCATGTAGGTTTATTACAAACGAAAACGTTTAGTGATTACAAATTTTCAATATTTTATTGAAACGCCCGTGGGATTTACGATTCTATTTAAATTACTTTTGCTCCTTGACAAATGTCTGTAGAGTAATAATCGTGTAATTTATTTTCTCCGTTACCGTACCTAGAAATGGGGTGCGTATTATAATACGAGATGACTGATCCTATAATATTATGTAACATAATAATAATATTCTAATATTGTTGCATAAAATGCAAATTAATTATAAATGCAATCAACTCTGAATGAAAAGCTAAAAGTATTACATTTTTTCGAAACAATTTTTTTCGACAGTTGAAGAAACAAGCAAATCTAAAATATTTTATTTATGTTATTTTTGTCACCCAAACGACTACCTACCTTTGATTTTCAAACGACAACCTATATGCATTCAAAATTCCATAAATAAATCGAATATTAGTTTAAATTAATTTTCGTGTTGTAATGTTCGATTTCCGTCAACCCCCGTTGACGAGATATTCTGCTTTTAAGTTTCAGTAGAGGAACGTCATTTGCGTGGCGCGTGGCGTTAGTCAAACTGACAAATCGAATAAACTTTTTAAACCGCATCAGAGCGTTGCGTATTAAACGTGAATGTATATTGTAAATGCAAGTTTAACTTAATACTTTAACACGCACTGTAGCGAGATAATAGTTACGTATGATAAATATAAATATAAACGTTTATGATCTTATTTCATTTGAACAGCAGTGTGCGTAATAACAATAATAATGTTTATCGGACGTAAAATAATTCGATTCAAAACAGAGTGGGTAGTAGGTACCTTTATTATTGTACAAATAGTGTTATACAATTAACTCGTTTTTGTCGACGATTTCACTCAGATTCGTAACTTGTTCGATACCGGTCGTATCGTTTGAAAATATGGCACGTGGTCCCGAGCGCGTCATATCCCGCTGCCTAAACGGTACGCGGGATTTACACTCGGTGGAAGTGGGCGAAATCGAACGTTATAAACACCCTCTTTCCCCACGAATAAAAATATCGAAAAAACGTAGTAAAAAAAAAAAAAAGTCATACCGCTCGAAATAAATTTCGAAATACCACATTATAAAAGAGGGCCCCGCCCTATCCCTCGCTCAATATTACCATCACTTCTGGAGGTAGGGAAGGAGGGCATTCACGTTAATATTGTATCAGAGATTTTTAGAATTGAGTTAGGGATTATTAGGTATTATTTTTTTCAGCGGCGTTACAAAGTCTTTTTTTTGATTTAGCTCAAATTGATTCAAGCTCAATTTAGCTTGATTGAATTTAGAAAAAAAACGATATTTTTTTTCTTCCCGTTCATTCGACTTTTACTAGTCCGGTCGGTCAACTCGAATTAGTTTAAAGGAACGAGCAGCAGTTTCAGCTGCTCCTCTCTAGTTTCAGTCTTGATTTAAGATTCTGAGTGAAGCTAGGATCGGATTTGGATCGATTTTTACTATGTATAAACATCTTTTATACCAAAAATCGATTTTCAAGTGTAGCACTTTTTCTGAAAGGGAATTTTATCTGAAAACTGAGAATAACGGGAAAATGTACGAAATTAATTATTATTATTATTAATTATTTATTAATTAATTAAAAATTTTTTTTGTTGTTGTGATTTAGCTTAAAATATTTTTAGAAACTTGAAATTTGAACATAAAACTTATATTTACCATTTATTGACGTAATAATATGTTCAAAACATGTTAGCCAATTTTGAGCTATTGATAAACATTTTAATTTTGTGAGTTTTTACGTAAGATAGACGGTAGATACTCTGTGGATTAGATTATTCGATTAAAAAGAAATTCTAGACAAGTTAATCATAAGTCGTACTTTTGGGTCGAAAAAGGAAAAAAAGTGTAATATAGTAATTCTTTTAGAAGATTTTAACACCAAATTTAATGTTGACGAAAATCTTAAATATTACGGCATTTCAAAACATGCATAACCGAACTCCGCTCGGAATCGATTTTCGTTAACAATGAATAATCGTTGCGTATAAATATAAATTAAATTGCGCTCTACCTTCTCAATTGATTACCTACAACAGTATACCGGTCTTGTTTTTGTTTTTTGTTTTTTGTTTTGGCTTTAACACTGTTTTCTTAGACCGTCTGTCACACGTGGCGCGTGTGCTGTCCAGCGATGAACCCGTTTCACGCCGTAGAACGTCGGGCGGTAGATATTGCGAAACTTTGGTCTCGGGTAACCGATCAAGACGCGGCGTCGAGTTCCGCGCCAAAAATGATAATAATTGGACCGTAAAACATCGCAGGTGAACCCGAAGCCGTCGTTCCTACGTGGTGTACTGATTGGGACCTTGGCGGGACCGAAATGCCGGCGGCGGCCGACCGTGCGAGAACTCGGAGAACTCCGAAAGCCGGTTATCGTGTCGACTCACTCGGCGGCCTTGTAACTGATTTTAAACATTTTCGGTTTACGCTTCTTTAGGATATCGTAAACGATTATATTGTTATGATTGTGCAGCCGACGCCCGTTTGTGCGAAATACCATAAAGAAAAAAACCCTATTAAATATAAGGAGAGTATACTTTATGTATAGACGTGCCATGGACCTTCCACCCATAAACATTTTTATTTCTCAATGATAATACTAATAATTAGTAATTGGGTTATACGTTGCGATTAAGCACCTTTAGAATACACCACATCAGTAGCTTTATTTGTTTATCAGTTCGTTCAAGTTTCAGTCATTTTGATATAATCATAATTTTTAATCACCCATATTATAGCTTTAAAATCTGACACCGTTCATCGGACGGAACAATTTGTACGTTTTCAATGTCCAATCGGTTCGTTGGTTTTGTGTTTATTGCGACCAATGAAGAAAATCGCATACAAACTTACATTGCTTGAGACATATATTAAATAATGAGCCTTGATTGGTTATATTTCAATTGATAACATGCAAATAGTTTTATAATGATGATAATGGCTTAAAATCTTATACTATAAAATACAACTGTAATTATGAAAATATCTGCACAGAGAAGACAGAAATACAATGTCAAAACAGAAAAGCCAAAAAAAAAAAAATAAGTATTTAATATACTTCACAGAATTTAAAAAAATATTTTATTATTATTTTCTCCTAGAGGAGATCTTCCAGCTAATAAGCGTTTACTATTTTTTCTTACAACTATTTGCAATTGTTATTGGCTGTACTTTAATCTTAACAAAATTTATTTTTTTCAAAGAAATGCAGTTCCAAGTTGTGCGCAATTGTATAATTTTTTTAAACTGTGTTTTTAAACTTTATTTCTGCTTTCTGTCCAAATGTTTTCTTAATCACAGTTGTATTTTATTTTAAAATTTTAATTCATTATCATCATCATAGAACTGTTGGCATGTTACCAATTGAAATACAATCAATCAGGGCTCTCTATTTACTACGGGTCTCTAACAATGTGTGATAAACTTATATGCACTCGGTTCTGTGGCATTGGCCTAAAGTTTCTTCGCACGGTTTTTTGCGCATTTAAGCGCGTTACATCGCGGCGGGAGCGGCGCCAGCCGTGTAGACGATAATCCGATAATAATATAATAATTTATGCACTCTGCGGGTTAGGTTTATAGCAGATATTTCGCAAAATCGTGAGATGAGATCGAAATTAATTATATTGACGGGGGGAAAAAAATACCTCTGATATTCGATTGCTGGTTAATAGCTTTTGCTCAAAGACGGTTCTAAAGTGCTATAATAATAATATGAATATATTGAATGAGCTCAAACTCAGAAATTAGAGTTATTTTGTAGATGGATTGAAGTGATGATATTTCGGTTGAATTTTTACAGAAATTTCAGAATGCTGTTGCGGAAGGAGTTTTTTAAATTTTTTAAATCTCTATGACGGTACGACTCTATGAACCCTCAAATGAAGTTAGATAATTGACATTTTGTATATGCATGGTGTAACTATCAAGGGCGTGCCTTTGGGCGTTTCAGCTTTTAACCCCTCCCCGACCAATTATATGCCCAAATTCCATATGTTCACAGAAAATACCAATTTTTAATCCTAAAGTCTAAAATGTCGTAAAACTCCGACAACCATAACCAGATTAATTATATATATATATAAAAAAAAAAATATTGCAACATTGACAAGTCGGTTGGAGGAAAATCCGACTCTAACGACAGTGCTCTGCTACGCAAGGGTGTTTTTTTATTTTTAAAGAATTCTTTTTAAAATGTTTCATTATGTTTTGTATTGCCTTCATTTTGAATACATTTTTTTATAAAGTATTCAACTACTGATTTAAAAAAAAAACTAAAAATAAGATGTTTGTTCATTTGACCGCATTCATACACGTGAGTTATTATTTTCGGAATCTATTAATTAAACAGTGATACTCGTCGATGATGTATCGAGTATATTATAGGTATATACCCAAAGATGTACGACTGCCGCAGTTATCATCGTCACGGGATAATATTAAAGTCTTGATGTTTTTCCTGCAACGTTTTTATTATTTAATTTTCTTATATTATCTATATTATGCGCACTTTCGTCATACTCTGCGCATCTGATTTTGTATACATTACAAACTATACCTATTAATACATAATATTATTACGACACTAGAAAGAAGTTGCATACGTATTTTCAATTGCTACTTTGTTCAATTACTGTTACCGACATATTAAGAAATAACTCTTAAAAGACCGCTGTTTTTTCCTTTTACTGAAAAGTAGATTGAGCTGATGTTTGATGTTCTTTTTGTTTTCGGTCTAGAATAAAAATTTAATTAAAAAGCTATTTTATGGATACTTTTAAAACTTCGTTTCATTTCGATGTTTTGCAGCTTGTAAAAAAATAAAATAAAACTATAGTGTGAAAAATTGACTTGAAAACATTTGGCTACCAAATAATGATGTGTATTCGAATATTCGAATATCAGTAATCGACACTACAATTAATAATATTGATAAATATTAAAAAATAAATCAAATAAATAGTATAAGATTTCTCATGGAAAAATGGCTTAAAAAAAGTTATTGTAATATTTAATTACTGATATTCAAATATCTGAATATTCGAATTATTTAAGGTAAAACTATTCAAATTCAAATATTCGAATAATTCCCATCACTACTAGGTACCTACGTACGTATATTAAATGTGATTAAATAATTTCAAATTTATTTCGATTGAGAAATAAAAAATTAAAGATCCTGAATTAATCTATATTCTTCTAATTATATTCGAAAATTAAAAAAAAAAAAAATTATCTTACAGTGAAGAACTTTGATTACCTACCTATGTATGGTAGTATACGTCTGAACAGCAAACATTATATACAAATTCTTACAAAACAATAAATAGACTGTGCATTTTAGTCTTTTTGTGTTTAAAATATCATCCAAGTACACGATGATCCAAAATATGGTGATTATTTAAACATTTACATATTTTTTTAAAAATAATTTTGTTTTTATTATTTATGATGGCATTCTTATTATATTTTTACTATTATATATACTCACATTTTTCATTATGTTCGATGTACGCGTATAATACAAATGGTCCTATACAACAATCGTCGCATATACAGTTAACCTTGGTCCGCATATTTGATTACGAACGAATTGAAAAATGACATTAAACTAAAAGCATACCAGCGTTTATATCGATTATAAAAAAAAAACCGAGACTTGACCTAAAATACTTGTAACTTCAACACAATAGCCCGATAAATAATATTAACATACACGACATCGCCTACTCCTATTTATTATTTATTATATATCTGCTTAATATAGTTAATCGTGTTGCAAATTTGATTTTAGAACGCTCATTTCAGTTAAAATTATTCTAGGCCGTTTAAAACCATCGCCGCTTCCAAAACGTCTCTCTATATTTCTTTATATCAGGGGCGGGCAACACAATGTTACTAAAGGGCCAATTTTTAGAACTTTAAAATTTAGCGGGCCAACGAACATAGAAAGCAAAACAAAAGTCTATAAAGTTTAAAATTTACACTTTTTTTATATTTAATTATTTATACATCATATGATATTTATTAGTTTATTTGAAAATGTATGTAATGTATGTAATGGCGGACCGCCAGTTGCAGAGCAGAGCAGTAGAAAGAATTAAACTGTATTGATCGAGTTAGCTTTGATGAGTAGGTGTAGTTATGTGTAACATTGAAGGTCCTTGAAATATCGACGTTAAATCAAATACAGTGTCACGATAAATCGGGTAACGCGGTAATGATCGAATAAATACGAGTAGAAACGCGATAAATTGCAATTATGTAAGTATTATATATAGGTAAAACCTATATAATTGCAATTTATAATTATATATAGGTAACTATAAATAAATTCAAAACGACCAAAATTTTCGTTCGGATAATAACGATAAGAATTAACTATATGTTGTTATAACTGACACAGTATTTGCAATCGGTAAATCGCCATAAAAAAAAAACACATCGGTGTTAAGAGTAAAAGCGGAGTATGTTACGGTTACAAGGATAATATAATGCGTGTCATACCTATCGATTTAAATTTCCATGTACTTAAAATGTTAACATTATATTACTAGATTAAGTTATTGGATTAAGTCGAACGTGATAATTTGAATGGAAGGACGTTTATGGTATAACAGTTCACAAAAGACAAAACAAAACATTTCTTTAAAATCTAATCTACGGATAATATATTGTACAGAATCACACATGGGAACTCGGTTGAAGGCGCCTTACTACTTGCCAATATTATTGTATAGTTACTTTGATTCAAACATTGTCTATCACGATAACACGGTATTGGTGCCGATTAAACTATCCCGGTCGGCATATAAATATTACAATAAAATGAATTACTCGGAGACTTCACGTTGCGACTGAATAACGTGGCCCCGACTGTTTGAATTCGTTTTAGTTTATAATCTTTTGAAGATGACGTGAAATAGACAATTATTATTATTTGAGTTTATTCAGCCTTTACCCGGACCGTCCCGTCTTAAAAATAATTTTCCAGCTATCTCCTATTCATCGCTGAAACCGTTCAACTTTTGATTCACTCCTAAAGCTTCCACATATTTTTTTACTATGTCTTCCCACCTCATTCTCGACCGTCCTCAAAAGTATTTTTCGTATATCCGTTTCTGTTCCAGCACTGTCGTAATGGTAGTGAATTCGGTTTCTTCACGCATGTCCAGCTAATCAGAATGTATCCTTTTTGATGGTTTTCAATATATTATTTTCTTCGAACGCTCTGTGTATAGCTCCCTGTTTTTCCTTTGTCTCCGCAATCCGGCTATTTTATCCAGAGATTTTCCGCTATAATTTTCTCTCGAGTGCCAGATATTAATTATATTTGTCTGTTTTTCCCTCCGTAGCTAAATTCCAGATCCGTACAGCATTACTGGTCGTATTGAATGTGTAGTATTAAGTATTAATATAAAACTGTTTTTTCATTTCTCTTGATAGTGATCGTAAACTTTATAAACTAAAAATGGTCAATTTGATTTATGTTTTATATGTCAACAATATACATACTGGATTATCGTTTCCCTATAATCTGGTACACACACGTATACTCAGTTTTCTTTTTGTTAACCAGTAATCCTACTTTTAATGGTGTATTATTAAATCGTAACAGCCGTGTGCAGAGGAGGGCAAAGGCCTAACTGTCCCAATCCCGAATAAAGATTTTTTATTTTTTTATGACGGTTTTCTGTGCAGGCGGTGGCTGTGAGCCAGACTCAAGCGTTCCAGAAATACGGGTCCAGACTTTTGCCGATACCTTTCCCAGGCTGCGAACACGAGGTCTTTATGTCGGACGCATACTGGTGGTGCGCCACCGGACTGGTTTCGACCAATCTCCATCATCAGTCTGGCACGTGCAAGATGGGACCGGATTCGGATCCGGAAGCGGTGGTCGATCCCCAGCTCAAGGTTCGCGGCATCAAGGGCCTTCGGGTGGTCGATACGTCCATCATGCCCGTCATACCGGCCGGCCACACCAACTCGATGGCGTTCATGATCGGCGAGAAAGCGGCCGACATGATCAAAGGCGATTGGCTTAAATAATGTGGAATGGCCTCCGGTTGTAGCATAAACTTTGTATTTGTATTATCGTAATGGTCACTGGTTAAATTAGGTATCGCGAGTAACCGATGTTTATGGCCTAGCCGGAGATTTCATCCTCCGACAATAGATACCTAAACTTTCTTGCAATTTTATAAATTACTTAATTTTTAACGACCAATAGTAATTATTAAATCAGCAACGAACAAAACGTTTTCAATGTTAGTTGAACCGAATTCAATATGTAATTCGATTGCAATTCGCAAAAACTCCAAGACGAATTTAATTAGAATTTTATTCAGAAAAATAATTTTTATAATCAGAAATAATACAATATAATTATTATTTGGTCGTTTGAATCGATTAAGTATAGGTAATTAAAAAAATCGAGATGGTTTTCACGGTGATCTCATTATTTGGAAATACGATTATTATTATTATTATATTGATAAAATAGTAAACTTTATACTCGTTTATAACAGTAAAGAAATGATGCAAATTTATATCTAAGATTATAATTATATACATTTCGTAACTACTTAGTTTCGATATAATTATAATAACAATTTTAATATAGACACAATCAACAAAATACACAATTGAATATAAAAAAAAAAAACGTCATGCACTACGTAACGAAACTTATTATTAACGAATAAAAAATTTCAATAGGAAATACCAAAATAACGTATCTGAAAAATCTCCTTTTTTCTCCTTCGCCTTCATAAATATGAAGGCGTATAACACGTTTTAGAAGACAAACACAATATAAGCTTAAAAATAGATTTAAATATAGATATTACACGATCAAAACCGTATATGCATAAATAATGTCCCACCAGTAAAAAAAATTATAATACATTAAACATCCGAAAATCAGAATATTATAATACGTCGATTTGTATTAGATAATGACAACAACCCTTATTATTAGATCGCAACACACGAACGTTTTTTGTACACATTTATATTTTCGTATTATATGTTATATACCTACATATTTGTTATTTATTAGTTTTCATTTGATGTCCCGACCGCAACAAGGAATACATTAGCTTTAGGTTAATAATTACTCTTTGAATTTGCACAATTTCTTTACTGATTATATATAATAATTATTTTTCGATCGCTTTTAGTTCGACGTTTTTTGAATAAACACCAAACGGATTTATATATTCGTTGGACATGTAAAATATTCACGTTATCATTGCGATAATGATGACCGAACTACAATATTGTTTCAAAGATAATATAGTCGTTAATATTAATTATTATTTATTTAAAACTCAACGAGTATATACTATGTTATTCGGGTGATAATATTATTATTTTTAAGGCCAGTTCTGGTGAGTGGGGATTATGTCTACGAGACCGGCATTTGTAGTTACAGTGTAAAACCACTGAAGTTAAATATTATATTCGTCTTCTTCGTTAGCTTGATGTATGTTATTTTTAGGTTCTTCACCGCAGCCACCAATCATCTCTATCTATCCTCATCAGTTGCTAGTTTTTCAGCATTATTTACTCCCGTCAACAAGTTTCGGTCCTTTTTTGCTCTGCTGTCCATCCATTTCTGTTTTGGCCGTTCTATATAGTGATCTCTTACGCTTTAAGCTCCATTTCACTATTTCTCGTATAAGGCGTATCTGTATTCTTTTATTATGGTGTTAAACCGGAAAATGCATACTAAATTAAATACGAGACGAATAAACTAATGTGTATTATTCCTAGTGGGATTTAAGTTAACTAATAATACTATGGGAAAAATGTACTTGTTATAAATTATTAATAATTATTGTATTTGATTTTTGAAATGTATTATTTTATTCTCTTTGTTATTTTAATATTGTTATGTTTTTGCGCATTACTTACGTTGCATGTATAAATTATTATAAATAAATGTTTAAACCATTTTTTAAACTTGGTTAACTAAAAATTAATATTATTATTACATTAATAATAGAAATTATATTTTTAATAATTAGTTGTATTGTTTCGATCAATTAAACAGACTATTTCAACTCAAACTTAAACGGCAGGATTTAACTTTAACTTCTAATCTACCTAATTCACAATAGCATAATCTAATAAAATTATAGAAATACCGGAGGTACCAACCTCTTGGAGTCTCTTGGCTCTTATAAAACATAATAATATTATGGCGCATGTTGACATTTGAATCAAAGACAAAAATATCGCCTAGATAAATAAATCTAGATAAATACAAAAAACAACGGACGTAACAATAAAATACAAGTAAATGTATTTTTCTTGACAACTTTTTCTTCACAGTGAACTCGGTTTAAGACTGGCCGATTGTGAACTTCAAAGACAAATGTTTGAAATTCATTAAACGAGCGTGTTTAAGTTTGTTGTTTAAAAAGTTGTTTAAGGAGTATACAAATCGTCTTCACGTGTATATTATGTATTTATATGGACATTTTTATATTTTCTGATAAAAATTATTTTAGAAAATTAAAAATTTGTTTAATATGATTAAAATTAATTTGTTAGACATCTTACTTGAGCTTTTTGCGAAAAAACTGCTATATTATTTCATTAAATCGTAATGTGGTTCCAATTTTTAGTAATACATATTTTTTTTTATACAGAGATTTTAATTTTATCCAACATTTTCAATAAATGTCTAATAAGCCTTTATATAGGAACATTGTTGAATGGGTTTTTCGAAGTGTTGTGTTGATCATATGTACCTGGCACCAAAAATTTAAAAGTTGTACATTTTTTTTAATTTTTGAGTAAATAATCTTCGTACGTTTTGAGCTGTAAATCTCATATTCGTTTCGATTTCAATGTTCAATTTCATCAATTTTGACATGAACAAAAATGAAAAACAACTTGACGTTGTAACGCTTCCGCAGTAGCGCGCGAATTTATGACGTTATATAATATCGCATTGAGTTATAAATAAATTCTTGACTACCGGCCAAATAAAATTTCACGTTAATAGCAATACTCAAAGCTTTTAAAATATGTTATAAAATATTTTTGCGTGTTTTTTAAACGCATATGTATCGGAGAAAAAGAGAAATTTATCACACAGAAATACTGGATAATATTATAATACATGCAATTATAACACTTTATAGTGTTGTTATGATTTTGTACATATAATTATATGGTTTTATTTTATTTTTTTATTAATAGTATTAAATAAATAATATTGTATTTCATTTGGTTTGACATAAATAAACATTAACCGTTTACTTACGTAAACCCGAAAAGGAATTATTCGAAATTGTAAAAATGATAATTTATTTTTGATATAATTTTTATCGTATAGAGTAACCCCGGACAGTGCAATTTTACAAACAACAGTTTTTCCGACATTTCATACAACTTAAACAATCCACCTACAGTTATCGGGTTGGTTGTCAAATACGTTTTTTTATTTTCAATTAACTCTACCATTTGAAAATTAATTATATTATTTTAACGTTTCCGTGAATAATAATCATTGCTACCTATTCAGAACGTTTATTATTTATAATGAACGATTTAATTGTCTTTACTGCAGACTCAAATTAATTGCTATTCGCATTTTGGAGAAAAGGAAAGACACGCACGTATATTGAAAAATTGGTGTCTCATTAAATATGCTCTGTCGGTATTTAATATTCCAATGTTCAATTATTTTGTGAAAAAAAAAAAACTTCTGCAAAATTTTACACTGCAGCGAACACATATAATATTGTTGTAAGTTGACTAAATGAATAATTATTATTATTCATGTTTATTCGGGCTCTAAAATCATGCCGTCTCACAGCCAATCAACTAGCCGTCGCTATCCATCATATCCATCTCTATTATAAACCGTTCGATTTCGTTTATCTCTTAAAGCTATCCTTTTTTACTACGTCTTCTCCTAGGTCTTTTTCTTATTGGGTTCTGAATCAGCATGTCCTCATGGTAGTGGGTTTCGGTTTTTACATGCATATCCAGCCCATCGCATTCATGTTTGATAATCTAGAAAATATATTTTTCTCCGAAGAGAAACTATCTGTAGCTCTTTATTTTTTCTTCGTCCCAGCTATCTTGCTATGATATCCATTACTGGTCTAGAGACTTACTTTACTGTATTTTTTTTACGAGTACCAGACATCTGTTTTCCACAGCCAAAATCTAGATCCGCACAGAATTATTGGTCAGTTCAATTATTAATTACTTAATTTAACTAATTTCGAACCTAATAATCTAATTTGATCGTGTGCACTTAGTTTTCGATTTCTATTTTATAACAATAATAGGTATATTGTAACGAAATATTTTGATATGGGCAGTGATATTGTGCAATGATAACGAGTGAGTGCTCTCTGCGTGTGTTCTTTTAAAATGCATAGGTACCTATAAAAACATCGCAGTGATATAATTTGTATCGACAATCAACAATGATGAATTAATTTTGACGATTCACTGCAGGTGAAAAAGACTGTTTAAATAAATTAGCACGTTCATATAAAAATAGGTAGACAGGTAGGCAGGTACTTTAAAGAAAGCACAGATAATAAGTATATTGTCCGACGATAACAAAATTTACCTACCTATGTTATAGGTAGTCATCGTTAATATATATATATTATATAGGTACCTACTGATATAACACGCGTACCTATTCAATAACCGCGGTGGAAAAATCTATATATGTAATAATTATTATTCTTCTACTTGTTTCACAAAAACAAGAGATCGAAGAGACTTTTACTTGCGCAATATTATCGTACTACACTGTCTATACTGTGCAATAATAATTTTAGAAATTCGTATATTATTATAATGTGCTGCTGCAATATTCACGGTTTTTGTTGTGTGTCTAAACAATACGTTGATTAAATTTCATATGTCGACAGCAAGCGCCATTAATTATCGTCGTCTATACAAAAACCCGTACTACTTATATTTTCATGCTTATACCAGTCATACTGTATATCACGGTTCCTTAAATGGATTCAATGATTCACGCGTTTAGATCGATATAGGAGGTATCTATATGACATATCTAATCTTCTTCTTAATATTATTATTGTTTTGTGTTATTTTTTTTTTATGAATAATCAAATAAATAAGAATAAAGACATTGGTGTAGACAGTGGAAAAACAAACGTGGTCTTTGAGAAGGAGAGTAGTGGAGTATCATTTGTGTAGCGGTACGGCGCGCGACGTATTAATAATGCACCACTATTCTCCTCCAACCCAAACTTAAAAGTGGAATATCTCGTCAACGGGTTGACGGAAATCAACAATTTCAACACCAGCATTTATTGTAAATAACACTCCATCTATTTACAGTGTTTTCAAAATACGTTGCCGTTTGAAAACCAAAAGTAGGCAGTCATTTCACACCCAAAAATAAGAGCTACAAAAAAATGACAACGTAACATTTTAAAACTATTTGATTCTTAGTTTTCATAAAAAAAATTTCGAAAAAAGTTAATACTTTCCTAGGTAATGAGTGTTTCCAGTTAAGTGAATCACCCTGTATAGCTACATTGAATACCTATTATTATTATAAACCGACAGAATGAATTTTGTATAAAATAGCTTATAGTTTGACGTCATCGTCAAAACTTTAGGTTAATACAATTGAACAATGGAATTATCGATTTTACAACGATATAAATATATATTTTTTTTCGATTTATTATCAAAAAGCATTTATTTATTTGTGTTACTCGAACATTTTTCAATTCGGTATAAATACAATTTCAGTGTTATAGACTTTCTTCAACTTGATTTTATTAAATTCGTCGGGTGTACAGGTCTTCTAAATTGTAATACTATGGATGCGTGGTGTATAGAAGAATAGGTACTCCATGTCTTTGCTCTCAAAAGGATTAAGTTTTTTTATAAATTATGATTAGAATATTCTTCAGGTTTAATTATATAATATATGGTTTACAATGTAGAATAATATGCGTTCGGTATCTGTTTTAAATTTGTAAACAAAGAATATACAGTGCGTTTACGCTAAGAGTTACCACTAAATATTTCAGTTGGATGACCTACTATTGAAATGGAATTTTCGGAGAATGATAGGGAATACCTAAATATACATATAGACAAATTTAAAATTTTTAACCCTTTTGGTACGTGCATGCGCAATGCAACTTACTTTTTTTTTAAATGGCAACATCATTTTTTTTCTACAGATCATTTTGATATTCTAGTATAAAAGTTGAACACAGTTAAAATTTCGCCAATATCGGATTATTCGTAAATAATAAATTTTAACATACTATAAATTTGCCAATTTTGTAATTAGAAAAGGCTTTTTGTACGAAAATTGTTTAAAAAAAAAATACTCTATCCGAATCTATAGAAAAAAAATGGTGTTTATATTTAAAAAAAAAGTACGTTGTATTCCGTATACGCATACCAAAAGGGTTAAACATTTGAAATCTGTTTGAAAATTTGTATTTGGGTACTCCCCATCATTCCCCGAAATCATCCTACTGAAATATTTAATGATACCTCTTAGCGTGAACGCACTGTATATTGTATGTATAGATTTTTTATTGCAATATTATAAAAAAAAAATCGTTTTGATTATTAAAAACTCGTATATAAATTCAAATAGGGCTGATAGTCCTATAATGTATATGTATCAGTCGTACCTACCGAACCAACTTAACAATATAGTTATTAGTCTGGTACCTATATTATTATTAGTCATGGTACGTGCGATTTTGAATAGGATCCGAAAATAATTTGCTCGGAAAGCTACTAGAGTTGTTTTAATTATCAATAAAAACATCAACAAATTTAGGAAAAATTCTACAAAATAAAACAAAAAATAATCAATTCAAACCCAGAGAGTACTTTATTTTAAATAATCTTTACAGTAAAATGTAAAATTAAACACCTAGGTACCAGGGTTCATTTCTGGTACGATTCCCGTGCGCACGTACAACGTGTAATCGAATACTTATGAATTATGATATTTTAAAACAGTAATCGTAAGATTTTTTTTTTTTAATGCAATTCATGATAGCATCAATACATTTTGTTCCCGACTGCGATATTGTTCTATACGTACGTATATAGGTAGTGAAATAATAATTGAATGTGCCTACATAACTATATAGAATGGTTATGGCGAGTTAAAATGATTGCAAACGGTTGCTGCGTGGCAAGTTAGGTATTGGTAATACTGTTATTTAATAATAATTACTCTATGCGAAAAATAGGTAACTGTGACTGGGACTGGGACTACATTAATAAAACTTAATACACAATCCAATAATAAATCAATAATTAATTGGAAAAAAATTGTATTCATACTTAAAATTTAAATCAAGTCAAAAAAAGAAACGGGCATACTTCGCGCAATGGATGGGCGACTGTTATAGGTGAGAAATTGAGAAGGTAGAGAGAAATTTTATGTATATCTGTACACAAAGATTAATCATTGCTAACGAAAACGATTTTGAGCGAAGTTCAGTTATACATTTTTTGAAAGACCTTATATTTACGATTTGAAAATAATACATTTTGTAAATTTTCTCGTTTTTCCCATTTATTATGAAAACTCCGGTGAGAATAATCATAATATGATTTTCTAAAAATATCATTTCACAAAAATTTCTTTTCAGCAAAAGTACTACACTTAAAAATCGAAGAAAAATTTCTGGTATAAAAGGTGATAAAATAAAATCAAAAATCACTAGGGACATTCCTCGCTCTTCTCAGAATCTAAAATGACCTAGTGGTTGAACTGCTGAAAATTTCGATAAATTTTCCCAATTAAGTACCACCGGATAGGAATTCTACGTTTTTTGAGGAACTGCGGGGGCATTTTCCTCATCAAAAACGTATTTTTTATTAAATAGAAAAAAAAACAAATAAATTTTCGGAATAATTGAAATAGGATTTGTATGTAATAAAAGTAGTAAAGTACGTTTATTCGAATATTTTATGGCATTGAGTATTATAAAATATTAGGCACTGACAGAGAAATAAATTAACATAATTTATTCTAACTGTACTGTGTTTGTCCATTACACGCATGCCGTTATTACCTATGTCATGGCTACTAACTTACTCGAATAAGTATATAATTATTATAATATCATTAACGCTATCTGATAATTATATTTATTTTAACGTTTATTTGTATGTATACAATCTGTAATGATATTTACAATAAGTATATGAGCGTTTAGATATATTATAATAACATGTGGGAGTGAGGAGAGAAGCAATAACACTCAGAAATAATCATATAGTAATAAAATGTTGTAGTAAACATTCGAGCGTATCTATGCGGTATGTTCCGAAAACTATTTTAAATAAAAAAAAAAATATACATATAGTTTTTATTTTTTTTTTCTGCACCGCTTCTAAAAATGTTTTATAGTGTACCTACATCTGCAAAATTGTCTTTGCACATATTTAGTACGTTCCCAATTTTGGTCCCCCAAAATTTTTTTTTTTTTGGCTGCACACAAATCGCGTCCTAAAATAAAAAATCCGATAAGTGACTACAAGAACGTGCGTCCCGGGTTCTTCTGAACGACTATACAAAGTGCGTCCATAAATTATATTTTAATAAATACGTTATACTTTTGCGGTTATATCCTAGTCTAATACAAATTATTACTTTGTACAGATTATACGTATTATACGTTTAGCATGTGTATTTTCTGTTCATAGTTCGTTCGTATTATTATAACGCTGTATTTTTATAATCCGTACAGCGTTGATCGCGCTTGAGTAAACGTTGGCGTTTATAAACGCCAACATTTCTTATTAATAAAATGACATTGTTGATTTTAAGTGAAATTTCAGGTGAATACAAATTTCCTTACCATAAAACATTAAATATTGATATTCAACCGTTGGAATTGCTGTAAAAAAAATCGCCCGTCAAATATATATATATATATTGAATAATATGATAAAAATGACGTTATAGAACGTGCAAATGATCATAATCATATTATTAAATACTTTGATGAATTATTTAATAGACAAAAACTGAGTAATAATATAAAGCGAATGATTTAAACTTTAAATTTTAAAAAATGGCGTATCAACGACCGAAATAAATATTTTTAACCTATTAATAGCAATAGCAAGTTGCTGCTAACAGTCCTGAAGGGTCTGTATAAAACGGGAAAGAAAATAAAGTTTTTAAGTTGGGACGAAATTCGTATGAAAAGGTGATCTTGGGAGGCGATTCGTTTGCTGCGTAGGTGTTTTTTACGTTTGTATGTATATTACGTAACGTCATAAAATGTTCCGTCGAACTGTAGTGATAGTTTCTATAGTTCTTTAAAATAATACTTTTGTATCAATATTATTTCTTTAGCTTTTAGCTTTTTGATTTAATTTAACGAAAACATTTTCCCTATATTTTCGTTTCTATCGCGTATATTTTAGTATGCCCAGCGACCACCTATAATTTGTCGATAACGTATAATTGAATACCTCCGTCAGAAGTGTTTAAAAACACTATTTTAGTAGGTATGAGCTGACAGTGACAAAACTCTTACTACTGTGTTGTGCCATTTCTAAATCGATGACCTTTCCGATACGTATATTGGCAAAGACTTCGAATAACAATAAGTTACTTATATGTTATTATCTTTACCCCTGATGGTTTTAATAAGAATTTCTCCGCAGTCTCATTAGTTATGTTATCTATTACAAAAATTACGTTCACTTATATTTTATTTTACACTAGGTGGCGTAACGTATGACCTACAATAAAAACAAAACGATAGGGCAAGTCCCTGAGAATTATTAATACCAATAGTCACATATTATACATTTAATACGAGTAATTCTATACAAATATTGGCTATAGGTGCCTATGCACCTAGACCTACTACGTGGACTACGTGGACACTTTTTTTTTGGACGGAATACATACCGATATTTCTTCAAACACAACGCAAGAGCTTTGTTTATTTTGTATATATTTATATTAACGTTAAAATTGGACAAAAATGTCTACTGAACTGAACGCTATTTTCTTCTTCTTTCATAACTTTTATACAGTTCATTTGGAGCCTTCACTGCTTCCGCTTTTTCATGCCACCTTCCCATATTCTTACGCATTTATCCTCGTTCATTGCGTACATTTTTTCGTGGTCAGTAGTCATCGTATACACCTTTGCCTGGGACGGCTTTTAGATCTTTTCCCTTAGGTCCTTCCAACCATGACTGGATTTTATATAGCATTACTCTTTATGTTTAAACTGCCTATTACAACCATATTATTTATTAGTTATTACTGATATAACACTTTTGACGGTGTATGTATTTCCGCGTTAGTTATCGTTCGGTACTTTCTATATTCTACAATAGGAACGCAGGTATACATGTCGCAGCGTAATTTTCTTTCAAAGGTCATCTTCTCCCAAGTATATTATTTTATTGTCAAAGTTTCCCATCCATACTGTAGGATTGGTCGCAGATACTAAACATAATAATAATAAATTGTTTTAAATGACCCATAACTGTTCATAAGTTCATAGTTTTAGATTCTAAGTGGAGCGAAGAAGTTTATGGTTTTACAAAGATATTTATTTTATTTTTTTTTTCTGTGGACATATTTTCTACCAGAGGCCTTGCTCCAATTTTTATGTGTAGTAACTTTTCTGAAAATAAATCAGTATGAAAAGATCGTTATAAAGAGGTCGTTTTTCGATTCTCTCTGGAGTTTTCTCAACAAATATGAAAAACTGGAAAAAAATATAGGAAAACTGGGAAAAACGTAGAAAAACCGGGGAAATCAGTACAACACTAAACAAATATTATTAAAGAAAATATATAGAGTTTGCCTAATTATTTTACTATAATATGATACATATATTGTTGACTAAGCATCACTATCAACTGAACTCCTCTCATAATGTCGTATGCAATCGTAAGCAATGGTTTATCGTTATTTATCTCATTTCAGTTTAACATTTTACGTACTATTTTACATATTAATATGGATAAAACTTATTTGGTTCCAAGAAATTGCTCAAGAATTCGATATGAAAAAACAAAGATAATTATAATTATTTTAGTAATTATAAATTAATAAAATTGTCTATTTAAGTTTTTCAAAACATTTTTAAACGTACTATAATTAGAATTTTTCGTTAGCAATAATTTATCGTCACGTACAGATAAAAATTAAATTACCTACCCTAAACAGGCCAAACATTATTCTACGTTCCCAAATTCCTCCCTACCAATAGTAGCACTGTATTCACATCCACTGTCTTCTTGGGTGTAATTTATAAATTATAAAAATTATTAGTGTAATTTAGATATAATTAATTTAAACTAACGCATATACACATTTTGATTTCATATTTTTTTTTTTTAAATATTGTAGGTTTTAGATATATTTCATACATACTAATATTGTCATCGATCGCTCTAATTATTATTTTCATCTTTTGTGTGTATGTGTGTGTGTGTTCTAGGATAACACAGTCCCAGTATAGGTTGATACCATTCGAACTTTTTTTTTTGTTTCACTCTGTGTATACATTTTTGATAATTATTTTTTTTTTAAGGGCATTTTGACTTCTTAAAATTATTACGGTATTTAATATTAAAAACTGTACTTGTATAACGTAGGTATACAATATGGTAAGTTTTTAATAATGCTTTCGTATTGGTTCGCATTTATATCGTGCGATATGTCGATCTACATTTATTTTAATCAAAAATAAACACGATGACGTAATAATCACGCCACTCTGACATCCGAACTCTAATCTCGTCAAGTCAAACAGTATAAATACGGCTTCGGGATTTCTGTTCAGGCATAACACATTTTTTGTGCGATTTTATTCGTTGGTGAGTACACAAACTTATTATATACTTACGAGAACGAGTACCTATAGTATATATATATTTTATTCCGTTATTAATATTATTGTGTGTTTTTTTTTTTTTATTCTTGTTTACAGTCTTCACTTCTCGTTTCACGTAAACCTAACCAAAAATCAAAAATGGGCGCTGAAAAGGTAACCATGAACATCGTTGTCGTTGGACAAGTCCAACCCGCCAAGGCCCCCAAGACCGTCGCCAAGGCCGCCCCAGCCACCAGCCAACTGATGGTGAGTGTACACTGTTAAATAAAAAACACTACTCATTATTAGTCATTAAACACTCGTTAAAGTTTTTGTATTTTTGTATTTTTTTTTTCCGTAAAGCGTTATACTATTATGATTTTTATATTTGAAAAAAAAAAACAACTACTTAATTGTTTCAAAAAATACGAGTACAATGAGTGTAATGCACTTCATATTAGACAGATTAGATAGGTAGATTATTCACTAACAAAGCATCCGAGTATTGGATGAGAAAAAACTTACATACATACCACCAGTACCGAATAATAATTTGAATTTACATTAATATCGAAAAACGGGCATTAGCAGTGTAGTAGTATATATATACCGATTAGCAGCCAAGCAATAATAATATCAAGTAAAACCAAGACTCCGGGTATTGTATAATACTGTGATAGTTGAGAATATATTTTTTTTTTTTAATGTAGAAATAAAATCTGTTCTGCCCTCTCCGGATTAAGTCTGCTTCGTCTACTTTGTCAACAAATCCTGCTTTGGAAAGAATATACACATTCGAGTGTATTCGAGCTCGATGGAGGAACAGAATTTTTCACTAATCATTTTTTATTTCGTTAATTTAGATATCGGGTACCAAATATTGACCGATTAATAATTTACATACATACAGGGTACCGTATATTGGTCGGGTACTGCATTATTACTGATTTATTACTCGATGATCGGCTATACTTGAAACATCTCTACTTTATATTGAATTTCGCCATTATTAAAATACTCTAACATACTACGTTTGGTTATCCTCGAGTTTTCTATTTTTCTAATATATAATATATATAATATATATTCTAATATATTTTTCTCTATATATATATATATATGTATTTTTAACGAAAATAAATTATCATCGTTTAATTATCAATTTCTTTTTTGCATTGCATTCCATATACCTACCCAATATTACTCATATAACTATTTTAAGAATTTATCTATACTTAACTCAAATAAATATATTTATTTGTTGTGTTTTTTGTTTGTTTCAGTCCTGTTAAACTCATGTAGTCCATACATTGCAAACTCAAAAATGCCATAGTCCAAACAATACAAATTATGCAATTATTATTAATTAATATTATGTATATTATGTACTGACACCTCAAAATAAACCAGTCCTATCCGTCATTTGATTTTTTTTTTTCTATTAACACTTTATTTTAAAATTTTGATAGTTTATAACGGTATTTACCAAATAAGCTCAATATTCTATAAACATAACGATAAAACGGTTATTATATTGTATTAAAAAATAAAAAGATTCGTTAAAGAAACAAAAAAAATTTACAATCATATAATAAATTAATAACGAAAACATACTTAGAACCGCAGGGGTTGGAGAATCTTCACCAGACTAGAATATACATTTCGGTCACCTTAATTTTTACATTTTTTGATATCTGTGTATATATTGATATTTGTATACCTTTATTACAATTTTTGTTTGGAGAAGTTTAAAAAAACATTTGTAGAAACTTTCATCACCGAATAACTACATTTAACATCACTTCCAACAGTGTCCAGCAGATTTTGTATACAAATAAAATAATTTAAGATATTATGTTTCACATTATAATTATTAAATATTATACCAATAATTATGTTGTAATAATATTATTCCAGAACCTTGATAATCTTCAAGTATAAATACTTATTCACTTAACACATACATTAAGACATGTGGCCTGATTTTACATGTCTTAATTTGTTTAACTTTTCTTGCCAAGTCATTATATAATTTCCAAATATTTATACTTTTTATGTACACAACATAACGGTCGTTAGCATAATGCACTGCATCAACTAACATAAGAGTCCACCCAGATCCGGGGAGACCGACAGCGGAGTAGATGTACGGACTGACGATGCTCCCGGTCGAGCATTTCACCAGCGATGCAAATGCCGGTACCACGGGATGGCGGGAGCCCACTCCGCCTCGAGCAATTGGGGCGGCGGCCCGTCACGTCGGCAGGTCTCTCTGGTCTTGGCCGAGTTCCTGCCGACGGCGGAATGGTTTCGTGGTGGCTGTCACTGGAGTGATATTGTGGTTACGGGTCGAATGCTGACCCGAGGAAAGCTCTAGGTCGAACGGCCTCGCAAGCGGCTCCGTTCGTGAAACGGGGTATCTCCCTGGTGCCTACTCAGTTCCTCGGCGGGCTCCACACCACACCGAAGGTTATCAATGACCAAAAACGGAAAGCAGCGAGACATGGCTGCGGCCGAACCAACGGCGGGGGATAAGTAGCGCTCGACACGAATCCATTGGTATGGGGGGGGGACGGGGAAACAGTCATTTCGGGGCTCTGCAGTACTTGTGATCCTTAGTACGACACGGGGGAACGCCGCACCGGCTTACCGCTCCGGATTCTCCTGAACTTCCATGCTTCTTTACTAGGCCATAGACTAAAATTAGACGCGCGGTTGTAGGGTGACGCGCTCAACCACTAAAACTCGGAATTTATACTGCACCGACTAACAGATATCTAAAAATTAATATTTAATAAGTTAGCGATTATTTTAATGAATTGACTGTAGCGTATTTGTTATTTATTTTTTTTTTTATTGGAATTATTCCAATCGGATTATCTTACGTTTCGTTCTTACTGTTATTAAATAGTCCGCAGATAAAAGTAATAATCTTCTTTTATTTGCACTATACGCAGTGGTGTTCCCGTTGATTTTTTTTTGAGAGTATACCGTACTGCCTAATTTGATATATCTTCCTTATGAATTATATTGTTTACAAGGAAAATAGATATCAATTATACAAATAATTAAATTGAAATTATCAAAACAAAACACTCGACAGTTTTAAAAATAAAGTGCTGTTTTTATGTATTGATCATAACGATGGTCACGGTTACTTTTTCAGCGCCCGTTTTTGATTTTGTTTTCGTGAAACGTGAAGTGAAGACTGCAAACAGGAATTAAAAAAAAAAAAAAATAATAATATTAATAACAGAATAAAATATCTATATATATAGGCTAATAGGTACTCGTTCTCGTAAGTATATAATAAGTTTGTGTACTCACCAACGAATAAAATCGCACAAAAAATGTGTTATGTCTGAACAGAAATCCCGAAACCGTATTTATACTGTGTGACTTGACGAGATTAAAGTTTGGGTGTCAGATTGGCGTGATTATTACATCATCGTGTTTATTGCCGGTCTTGTTAAACTTAACCTCGGCGGTTTTCTTCTTGTTTTCCAGCATCCGAAACTCATTATTATTGTATTGACACTGCGCTAGAGCAGTATAATTAAGCAGATATTATTAAGTTACCATTAATATTAATAAGCAGTATTATTGTATAATAACGCAGATTATAGTATCCGACCGGTGGATAAAAATTAAAATAACATAGAATTGCAAAACGTTCAGATGGCGTGTGTTTTGTGTGCAATATCAATAAATAACATTTAAATGCTGTAGATACGACAGGCCATGAGATCGGAATGGTTATTTTTTCACGATTTTTTTTTTTGCGTTCGGATGGTATTACAACAATATTATAATATTCCTACACAGAGGCAGATATTATAATGTTTCTGTACGAACGTTTCGCGTTTGGCCAGCGACTATTATTAATTTCAATCGAAATTGCCATTATTGAATTCTGTTGTTATTTAGTACATTTGTTCGTTTCCGAAAACCGTTTAAAAAAAACTGAAGATTTAGTCGGCCGATTATGATGCGTGGAGCTCATTTCCTTGATACTTTTAACGATCAAACGAGTTTAAACTCGGGAATTGTAATTGGTTTATAGGTTGATTGAAGTGATCATATTTCGATTAGATTTTATTTTCACCGCGTTGTTGAGAGAGTTCGACATACATTGCGACTTCATTATAGTTAAGAAGTTTAAGTGGTTTTTTTTAACATAACTATAGACAGTTAATTATTTATATCGTGAACTAATTGACTTAAACATTTCAGTTCTTTTGCGTTCGCTCAAATTCGAATTTGTCTGGTTGATTTTCATATAATAAACATCTAATTAAGTTTACGGATTGAAAACGAACGATTGAGTATGAATTTTTTTTCCAAATTCGAATATTTTTATTGTTCCTAAACTAACCGATTGTAAACAATTCGCGTACTCTTGTGGTAGTCTAAAAAATTCGATTAATAGGTAATTTACAATTTCAACTATAATAGTTCGGAATGTTCAAGTTGAATGAACATTGTATTTTAGCATTGTAATTGAATTTTCAACATAGTTAATATTATCGTGTCCGTTATATCTACTCGTAATTGTTCGCCTCGTCGCCACGATAATGCCATTGTTATAATAAATTTACCGGTAAAAAAAAAAAAAAAAATGTTCAATCTGTTCCGACGATGGTTTTAAATAATTTTAATTTTTTAAAAAAAAAAAAAAACCCATACGTTTTAAAATATTATCTAACCCAATAACAACCGAATGGTTTTCGAAGTCTGTTCGATTTGTTCTGGTGCGATTTTGTAATAGGTAAACACACGGCGGACAATTGCACGATAATTAATTCTACTCGGATAACGCGCGCGGTAAAACACGTTCACTCTTGACCGTTCCTATTCAAACGGCGCGATTTAGTTGTAAATACTTCACACACACGCGCGGCATTAAAATATTTTTTTGTTTCCAGACTCCGTGGTTTTTTATTTATTTTTATTTAATGTAAGAATGTAGGTCAAACTGCACAACCTACCGAAAAAAAAACCGTCAATACGACGCATATGCGGGTACATTATGTTATTATTATTTTTTTTTTAGATATTTTGCGTAGTTGTGCGAATTACGTTATTACCAGCGCTATTATTACAATAGTTGTTCGGGATAATGCTCGTAAAATATCGGTAAATTTGGTAATTTTCTCGGGACGATTCGGGGACGCGTTTTTTTATTTTTTTTTTCTGTTTTTTCGGCCACGTACGCTTAACCCCGTCGTAACCTCTCGCACGCATATTGTAATAACTGCTGTCCCCGACCGAATATTCTCGCCGACCGGTTTTTTGGGTACAAAAATTGACCGAAAACGCGCGATATCTTCTTCTTGCGCGCACATACCTATATAGAAGCGACCTTGAAACCTTGCAATAATTACAACAGATTTTTCGACCTACCTACAGAACGTTATTTCAATGCCATTGGAAAGCGAATTGGCCGGTGTATATATTAGCGTTTACGTAAAGCCGCGGCCAGCGCTCTTCCCATGTTTTAAAATCGATTAGCTTTTTGTTTTTCTTCGTTTCTCCGACAGAGGTGCCAACGGTAGAGGCGTCTCTCTCTTGTACACTAGTAATTCGTCATTCGTGTAGTTTGTGTAGTATACGTGTGCTCGTTGAAATCCGAAATCCGGACGTATGTCACATCATTGTCAGATACACGAACTTCGTGTACACGGATTTTCGGAATCCGAAATCAAAATGGTATTAAATACCTATCTATTTAAAATTCTGTCTGTCTAAAAATTTTTTCGTAAATACAAATATAAAATTTTAAAAACTCGAATTTCGGAGTCCAAAATCCGAATGTGTGTCGCATCACTGTTAAATAAGTTCGTGAACTTCGTGCACACGTGTATTTTAAACACACGTATAATATCGCTGCCTCTAATACATAATTACCCGTGAGTGTGCGTTACTTATTTTTGAAAACCTACGAATCATTGAGTACGGTAATGAAATTATAACCGCCATTACACCCATACAATAACGTAAATACTCCTGAAACCCAACACACTGCCGCAGTTATAACGCGACACCCCGTAAACAAATATTGTATATTATGTTTTACGTGTGTTTTGACGACCGCTTTTATTATTATTATTATTTGAAACGTAGGCACCTATTATATTACGGTTTTCAAGAATGTAAATACACTGCCATTCATAATATTATATCATTATTATTATTATTATACTCTAAATATTGTACTGCAGGTATTGATGAAACGTCGTGACAACAGAACAATAATAACACTGTATCGTTTAGACGTTATTTGTATCGATTATTGTTCTGTTGTCACAATATCGTGTTATGGTTTTTTTCACTTGCCCCGTTCCCGTACAAAAACATGTTAAAAAATAAATGTTTCAAAAAAAAAAAAAAAACAAAACCAAAACAAAACGCGATGTATTCGTGTTTTGCGTCTGATACGTGCCTAATTTAGAATAGTTTTAAAATGGCGCTTATCACTTTGACAATTTTGTTTGTATGATGTTAATATAATTTGATAACGCGTGGTGTGTTTTTTCTAAGGTTACTTAACCGGCCAACGTATCTCGGTTACGAAATCTCGCTCCAATCGAAAGCTTTTTAGGAACATTCAAGTAGCGTTTTTATCGATTCCTATTCATTTTTGACACATCGAGGCGATCGAATTTTGATTCCCCTTGTAGCTTTCCTATAACAAACGGCGAAAACCGGCGATTCGTTGTACATAATAATTTTCGTCGACATCTGGGTTACCTAATACAGTTATAATTATACTCTGCTCAGAATCTTTTTTTGTTAGCAATGGTTTATCGTTGCGCACACATATTAATAAATCGAATTACTCAATCCGATCTTCCCCCTTTTCTCTCAAAACAGTGGCACGCAAAAACCACCGGTGGGTGGCATATAATTATTTCGCCCAAAAATCACCTCTCTCTTCTCGCCTATATCTCTTTTCGCCCAAATTAAATGAAATCTTTTCGGCCACGGATTCAAGTTCAAAATTTGTCGGAATCATTTATCGAAATTATTTATGATTGATATTTTCTGATTGACTTATATTTTTAAATCTGAAGTATTTTTCGCCGATTGTCGACAATGTTTTATTATTAAAGCCTTTTAACATTACCCAGAGAGCACCTCGAGGAATAAATATAACATAACTTGGTGTATATTATGTTTGAAGTTATTTAATATTTAATATTTACAAAACGGGTTTCGGTATGCATTTTGCAACAACATTGATTTTCGAATGTCGACGGAATATTCATAATATAATCTATTAATATTCGATCAATAAACCGCATCAGCAAAATCAGCAGTGTTTTTTGAGATATTTTGTCTCTGAGCGATTTCTATATTCTACGGGGGATATTTTGACTAAATTGTATTTCCACTGTTCACTGAAGACATTTTGTATAATGATATTATTAACCATAGTGATATTTTTATCCGGAACAGATTTTCCCGAATTCGTTTTAGACATATAAATGCAAATTTTAAAAGTTATTTCTTCCTAAACGAATTTAATATTATGCAAAAAATACATGATTTCAACGGTGTTTTAAAAGCAATATTTGAATTATCGTTTTCAACTCGACCGGTCGCAGCACAACGACGTGTGCATAATTATGGCATAATACCGAATTCATTAAATGGTAAATGTATTTTTTCAGAAATTTCACTTTTAACGAACACTCGCATTGCGTGGCATTGGCTATCTTTGTCTTTCGTATAGTGAGCTCTACGTGACAAAAACGTGGTCGCGCAAAAATATCGCGATAAGGTCTTTGAAAATCAGATAAAACGCCTATGCACTAAAAATCATCGAAAAATGCTTTAAAAAAAAACTAAATATACCCGTAAAAAATGGCGTATACATGTTTTTAATTTATTGCTCTATTGGGTAATTTATAATATTTTTATTTTATTTAAAAAAAAAAAAAATTGAAAATTGAAACATTTGACTTTTGACTAATGACGGTAGTGTTGACTCTAGTGGAGTCTCTGTTATCGAACTATGAAACTCTGAATCAAATTATGTACTCGTAAAATATTTTCTAATATCACTCATAAAAAAAAAACGCATTTTTCATCGAGATCCGGGCCCAATTACTAATACGTAACGTTTGTGTCGTATCGGATCCAACCATACCTGATAACGATTGTTATCACACAACAATACGACCGTCACGCTAAATTAGTAAACAGATTAGATTGAACCGCCTCTATAACGTATGAATTACACCTGTAGGTAACCGTTAAAAAATTGCGCGAGTTTCAAAAGCGCGGTCGAAACCCGTCCGTGAACACACGCGCGTGTACGTAGGCGACAAATGTGCACGTGTTACGTCACGTACACTAGACAGTGCGCGTCGCATTGCGGTGACGACGGGGCCGATGATAAAACGAACAACAAAATAGTCGAACATCGATTCGTATCTGCGGACAAAAATGCGCAATAAATTGTTATTATAAATTGCCATTGGCTGGGCGACGGGGTTATAACGAAATCGGTGCGAGAAACGATACGATGGCATTGTCGACGATCGCGCACCGATCGGGCGAAAGGAACGATTCGGAGAGGAGACGATCCCGGTTTTCGGGGTGTGTGCGCAGAAGGGGGGTGGTGGTAGGGCGAGAGGCGGCCCGAACGCTAAAAACCGGCGCCGTGCCGAACAGGCATAGTCGCAATAATGATAATAATAATAACAATATTGTGGTAGTAGAAGTCGAGAACCTTGAAAAATCGGCGGCGCGGCCGACGCGCGCGCGCGACCGCACGCCGGCGTCTCGCGGCGCAGATCTGCGTCGCGATCAAACGTCCGCGGTGCGCTGTTCTCGACGGCGACAGCGACAAACGACAAAAATGAATACCGGGACGTCGAAGAAAACCGCGCTGTTATGGACGGTCGCGGTGGCCCTGTCGTTGGCTCGGCCCGGCCACGGTATGGCGCTCACGGTTTTCCAGGCGGTGGTCGAGTACTACCGGATGTTGGCGCCGGAACCGCCGGACGCGGTGCCGAACGCCGACCGCCTGGACAGGCAGTACGATTTCGTGGTTATAGGCGCGGGTTCCGGCGGATCGGTGGTAGCCAACCGGCTAACCGAGGTAGCCGGCTGGACGGTGTTGCTGGTCGAGGCGGGTGGCGAAGAGAACTCGATGACGGACGTGCCGCTGTTGGTCAGCTACCTCATCGGTACCGGGTTCGACTGGGACTACCGCACCGAGCCGCAGGCCGGCGCGTGCGGCGCGATGGTTGACCGCAAGTGCCGGTGGCCCAGAGGTAAGGTCATGGGTGGCACCAGCGTCATCAACTACATGATGTACACGCGCGGCGCACCCGAGGACTACGACAACTGGGCCCGGGCCGGGAACGCCGGATGGAGTTACGCGGACGTGCTTCCTTACTTCAAAAAGTCCGAGAACGTCGACGGCCGATTGTCCAGGTCGCCGTACCACAGCCAGGGTGGTTACCTCAAGGTCCAGGAGCCGGCGTGGAAGACGCCTCTGGGATCGGTGTTTCTGAGGGCCGGCCGGGAGCTCGGGTACGATGCACCGGTCGATTATAACGGCCCGCGGCCCGGGGGCTTTGCGTACGTGATGGCCACCACGGATCGCGGGGCCCGGTGCAGCGCTTCGAAGGCGTTCTTGCGGCCCATCAGAGACAGGCCCAACCTGACTGTCTCCAAGCGGTCCCTGGTCACCAAGATATTAATCGATCCGGAGACGCGACAGGCCTACGGTGTCAAGTTCGTCAAGGACCAACGGACCACCGTGGTGTACGCCCGCAAAGAAGTCGTTCTTAGCGCCGGATCGCTGAACTCGCCGCAAGTGCTCATGTTATCCGGCGTGGGACCGGCCGAACATTTGCAGGCCGTCGGCGTGCCCGTGGTCAAAGACCTCAAGGTGGGCTACAACCTGCAAGATCACGTGTCCATGGCCGGTCTGGTGTTTCTGGTCAACCAGTCGGTCACCATCGTAGAGAGCCGGTACCGGCACCCCAAGTACCTGGTGCAGTATGCGCTCGACGGTGACGGGCCGTACACCATACCGGGAGGCGCCGAGGCGTTGGCGTTCACGGCCACCCGGTACGCCACCAACGGGTCCGCCGCAGCGGATGTGGTGCCCGACATGGAACTGGTGTTCGGACCCGGGGCCCTGACCGGTGACACGGGCGGCTCGTTACACCGGCTGTTCAACATGCGCGAAGACTTTTACGAACGGGTGTACGGCGGATTCCGGGGACGTGACGCTTGGGGCCTGGTGCCCATTCTGCTAAGGCCCCGTAGCCGCGGCCGCGTCATGTTACGGTCCGCCAACCCGTTTCACGCGCCGCTCTTCTATTCCGGATATCTGACCGACAGACGGGACCGCGACGTGCTCGTCGAGGGCATAAAACAGGTACGTGGTCGAAACGTTCTCTTTCCGACAGTTGTGCAGGGCGTGTAATAGATCTAAAATGAGAAATCCCCGTTTAGAGCACGCACAGTTTGAAGCTAACACCGAATTGAAAACCCGACGAAAATGTTTTAATCGTATTGCGTGTGTTTGAGATCGTTCCCACGACGTCCCGCGGTTAGTGTGTTTCGGTGCGTCGGTTTAGTCGAATTTCAGACATTTTGTTCACGAGTAATTTTAGATTGTGATTCAAAACGCAACTTGGGATCCGCATTATACGTGTTATACAATTCGAATAGGAAATGTCCGTTTAATTTGCTATGTTATAATATTACAACAAATATCATAAAAAAAAAAAACCGACGTCTCGGTGTCCCTCTTTTGTAAAAACACAATTTACGGTAAACGATATCGAAATCGTTCAAATGGGAGAGGGGGGGGGATTTTCTTTTTCTTTCGGGAAACGTCCATATTCTATATTTTAATAAATACACTGTGCGTGGGTACCCTGGTTGGCCATTGTTAAAAACATACAGCCAAAAATACCCGGGCGGCCGGGCATATGATTGTAGTACCAAATCGTACGATATTATTATTAATTTTTTTTTTTTTTTTGAAAACGATGTTAAACTTCTCTCTCTCATACACATACACACACACACACGCATACCGTTATTATCTAACGTCCATTTCTCCACGAGTCAACACGGTCCGTGTGAAAACGTCTGAAATGGAAAAAAATTTGATAGGTATTAGGTATATAAATCGAATTTATTACCGTCGTTACGTTCGGTAAATCAGTTTTATGCAAATCGATCGCGGGCAATTGAATTCCTATTTAAATTGCTTCGCGCGTTGTTTTATGTGCGCATATCGATGTTGTTCGTTTAACGTCCCGCGGGAACAATGGTGAATTAACATACAATACGGTCTTGTCAATAAATTACACTAGAAACGTTCAGAATCGAATCTGTCCTCCTCAAAGGTGTTGCTGTTGTTGTGCCGGGTCACAATGTAATTAATGTCAAACAATTCGAGAGACGTAATACGTATCCAATCGTCTACAATATTATTAGCCGACTCGTTTTGGGACGGATGATTAAAATTTAAAACAATACGCAGTGGCGTAGCCAGGATTATGATCAATTAGAAGGGGGGGTTACATAGGCGCGGATAGACCACCAACTTTGGGGATGATAAAATTATGGACACATCAATGGACCCATGGAGGATATGCGCCCCACGTACCCCTTTTATACGACTCTTACAGTAAGCAACTGCACATTTCATTTACAATTTTGTATATAAAAATTGATCATAACTATTTTTCACACACATTTACATTGTCTATATCGAATATCTGTATTTTGTTCTGCTCATTAATTATAAAATACAGGAATAAAATATTTATTCGTTGTTATGAAAAAGTTGATTGGGTTTTTTTGGGGGGGAAAGGTGCTAATTTTAAACTTGGGGTACTGAAGACTTCCTAGCACCCCCTAGTTGAGCCTACGCCTTCTTAACGTTGTTTATAGCTACAAAAAGAAGTTAACGAATTCATCAATTCGACTAGGTTAAGTTAAAATCGTATTAAATTCTATATTAACTGAATATCGGGTTAGTTTTATTTTATACGTGGGTACAGTAATACACTGTGTCGTGTATACAATGAAAATTATATAATTTTTTAACCACGTACCAAAGTTGGATTGATTATGATTATTATATTATGGTTAAGGAAAACCAAAAAAAAATTAACTTCTTTTGAACTAGTTAACTAGTTATGAGTAACATTACTATAATTAGGTATATTATTGTACTATTATTGTATTCGGTGATTTTTTTTTTTTTTACAATCGTGCCATGTAATGAAATTATCAGCCGTATAAAGTATAATAAATTATAAAAAAAAAAAAAATACAAAAACCCGTTTTGTTAACAAGGACACTGAAATATTATTATCGTTTTACACGCGCCATATACGAGCGCGATGATTTCAAGACGCGCCGACGACGTCTTTTGTAATAATGTCGCTGTTCCCGAGTGCGACAGACAAACACGGTGTTATCGGTTTACAATATCATTCTGAAAAAACAAAAACTGAATAATCGTTTTGGCACACTCGCGGTGTAGTGATAACACGACGACCCGATGGCCGGATTGTCTGCGTAACGTTATACTCTAATTCTCTGTACGTACGACGTTGTGTCCGTGTTACGACAATACGACGGCGGCGTTCGCGTGCTCGTGTTGCCGGGGTTTAATCGACCAATAGGCCGCGAAATGGCTGCAACCTAACGGACGGGAGGGGTGCGCAACGAAACAATTTTTTTTTTTTTTTCTATATAATAGATTTCGCTTAATGCGGGCACGTCGGGACCAATTACGTTTGCCGATAGTGACGTTTGAACACTAAGGGCACGTGGGGCGCGAGCCCGGGACCCCGGCCTGACGGGGGCCCGAAAAAAAAATTTTCATCTTTACGTTATAACGTATTGACGCGACTTTCTTCAGCTAAATGTTTGACTGTCGGCCTTCAATGTTAAGTTATGATTTACAAATACAGATAGTTAAATTCTGTTTACTCAAAATGTAAATGTTTCAAAAACGACGATTACCCCTTATATACGTGCAATAAACACGTTGATTGCTGTACAGACTGCAGCAGCGGCTGGCGGCTGCACAGTTATTATTAACTGTTGTTAATAGTTAATTAATAATTTATTAAAGTAGATAAAAAGTGACTATTAGGTAATTTAATGATAAGAATGATGATAGTAATAATAATAATGTAATTATAATTAAAAAGATTTTTTAAATCTTGTAACTACAAGTTGATTTTTTTTTTTAATATTTATTTTTTAAAGCCTAAAAAAACCGCTATGTTGTTCATAAAAGTCTATGTACGTATCAAATATCTGTTTAAGATTAAAAAGATGATTTTTTCTCATATGTGATTAACCAAAAATTAATATTGGTTTTTTCATTCGCGTTATTTTTTAGCTTCTAAAAGGGACTCCAGACTCTGAGTACCCAAGGCCCTCTGCATAGTTAAGAACGACACTTTTTGCCCACATTAAGTGTTTGCCCATTTAACCGATATGAGTATCGTTATACATCATTATACAAAAATCATTGCCAAATCAAACCCAGCCTACTGGAGCCAAATCCATTAATCAGGCCGTTCCATTTGTATTTAAAAAAAAAAAAAAACAACCTTTCCGTTATAATACTCATATACACATAAAGTAATGTATATTCATTATACATTGACATGCTCGTCTATTATTGTTTTTTTGGATTAGACGACGAAAATATCGTTTGTATACGAATCATTGATAATTGCGGAAATTGGACGTATCCACTTTTTTTGAGAAATTCAGCTATCGCGTGATTTGTATTTATCTACCTTAAATACATTTTTTGTGTAAGGATAGGGCCGGTTCGTCAAACCATTATGAAAATATCGTCCACTAAAGTCAGTGTTTGGGACAGACAAGAAACAAGTCAAAGACATATGCTAGTTTTCTAGGCCTTCCTAAGAAATTTAGTTTCATGGGCTTGTTTCCTTTCTGGAATTAGTAATTCATATAATTTATAATGAAACATCGTTACTGCCGGCATACTCTATACGCACTGGCATATAAAACCTAATACAAGTTAGATACAATATTTTTAAACTACATTTTTAACCGAACGCAAATATTTGAAAAGTTAAACGCGAAATTCATTATAAGTTTAATTTAGTGGTAAAAAAGAAAGTCAATCGTAATGTAATGATTTTTTTTAAACAAGCGTTTTAAGATTAATTTTTTATGAAAATCTTAAAAATTACGGCATTTTTTGTTACATTTTAAACTCTCAAAGTACATTGGTTATCAGTGTTTAGCATTATCTAGATATATAATGAATTACCTTTTATCTTATCTAGATAATAAACAAAATTAGTTATTTGATGAATTATCTTAAATGAATAATTGATTTATCTAACGCAATCTAGATAAATTTATCTAAATAAATAAATATATTTACCTATTCGAAAAATTCGAAAAATAACATAGAATTTGAAAGTTATGAACCCATGTCTTATTATTAAACCATCCTTGTACAAATACAGAACAAAATCAAAAACATAAAGTAGTATGTAATAATATTATCCGGGTCGCTTATTTATGTTATTTCTGAATTCTAATTATATCTGGGCCGATATAGCGAAATCTACAGGCTACGACCGAATAGGTTGGTCTAAACGGAGTTGACTGAGTTGACTGCTTATAGATTTTTTTTATAATTATCAAATTAACAATTAAGTTCAATTCAATATTATAAATGATTAAAAAATGTATACATTGTACCCAACCTTCAAAAATAAACATTAGAATACTGCTAGTATTATTTACTGACAAAAGTAAATAAATATAAAATAATTGTTAATCAATAAAAATTAATCTTAAAATTTGAATGAAATAATATATTCTAAATGGTTTTATAATTATTGAATATTATATACCTATTCGATTTTTAAGATCAAAATTAAGTTCATTTTATTTTATTTTATTTTTTAAGTAGAAATCGACAACAATTTTTTAGATTAATCAATAAAATTAAAACAATTTTATTTTTTTTTTCATCCAGATAAATAGTGTTTTATCTTTTATCTTTTATCTTTTTCTAGATAATTTAGATTTTAACTGTCTTTTATCTCTATCTAGATAAATTGTATCTAATTTTCTTTTATCTTTATCTAGATAAATTTTTGGTTATCTTTGCGCAACGTTGTTGGTTATGAAAATATTCCCACATTCATTTAGAAATGTTGTATTAATGGTTCACGGAGTTCTTGACGAGTAAAAAATAATGTGTCACTATCATACAGCATTGAGTCACTACGGTCAATGTTGAACTAAACGTATCACCTTGAAAGTCGAAACGGGTACCTGCTGAAGTCTGGAGTGACCTCTTTAGTCTTAAACAATTAATAGCACATTATACTTACTTCAAATTCGAATATGACATTTTAGTCATTAATAATATATTTCGGATATTACAAAGAGAAATGGGATAATAATATATAATATTCGGTTCTATGACGAGTTGTACAGCCGGTAAAAGTGCAAGGCGAATAGTGTTGTATTTTTAAATTTTTTTTTTTATATATACATTCTACATTCAAATATACAACTATTACTAAGTATATTGTATACCTAAACGGTAAGAAGGTCGTTTGTAGACAAATAATATTGAGTAGCTACTTACTTACATACGTGATATTTATTCTAGAAATTATTTCAACAGTTATTGTTGTATGAAATTAGATAGCTTAGTTATTTAAAAAACAAAAAAAAACCGTTTTACTTAATTCAGTTAAAAATTGTCCATTTTTACAAATAATTTCTATGGGTGTAGGAAAGTTCGTTCTCCGAGGATTTCGGTTAAAATTGTATAACATTTCAACCATACAATTTAAACAGGCCTTTTTTTTATCGTACTAAAGGCATGGTTTTTTCTCATTTAATTACAATTCCTACAAGTATACCAATAGTATCAGTGTGTCTACAAATATAAAGCCTATATTCCAGCCTAATGTTGTAGCACATGAGTTCTATACTTACAAAGCATCGGTTTTCGGTGCACACTCGACTCGATAAAACCTAATCTAACCTTAACCTTACTCGCATTATTTTGTCATTTTTCAGGCAATCACGGTGAGCAAGACTCGTGCATTCCAAAAATACGGTTCCACGCTGTTGTCTGTGCCGTTCCCTGGCTGCGAACACCAACCGTTCGGGTCTGACAGCTACTGGGCGTGTGCCGTGGGACAACTGACCACCAACCTTCATCACCAGGTGGGCACGTGCAAGATGGGACCAGACTGGGACCCGGACGCGGTAGTCGATCCCAAGCTCAGGGTCCGCGGCATAAAAGGTCTCCGGGTGGTCGACGCTTCGATTATGCCGCTCATACCAGGCGGACACACCAACTCGATGGCGATCATGATCGGTGAAAAGGCGGCCGACATGATCAAAGAGACTTGGCTGAATTGAGAATACAATACCATTCGGTGGGTACCTACGGGGTAGTAGCCCAGATTAGGTTAGGTTGTGCGTGTGCTGCATGAATGCGAATGACACCGCCGAGCACACGGCATTTGAGTGCTCGAGGCGCAATTATATAGTAGTCCTGGGTACCCGGATGACCGGAATTCTTATCCTGAGGACACCCTGGACCTCCTATGTAATTCTCCTGCAGTTGCGTGGTGACAACGCACTGTTTGATAACACGAAACTGACGGGCGCGACGCTCCAGTTCAGATGTGCCTTCCCCGCTTTGATCGACAGTAGGATTATGGTAAGGAAGAAAAAATATGAGAGGGCGAGGCTGATTAGAAAATATAAACAAGAGGAAAACTTTGTTTATATTTTACACCTAGTGTAAAGTTGTGAAAATAATGTTGATACAAAACGGTATGTGCCATCGTTTGATCAACTCGTGCATTCTCTTAACATATTTAAATTGTATAAATATTAATATGTGCCTCTGAATTTTATTATTGTAAACTGAAACACGTCAACTTTGTTTGTTCACCAGAACAAATTCACTGGGTTAGCTAGAGGTTTTTATTCTTTAGTGAGCGGTCAGCAATCAGTTTCTAAGTTGGGCCGGATAGTTTGAAAAAAAAAAAACACTTTCGGGGGCCATACATTTTTGGAGTTTAGCAAAAAAAAAAAAGTTCAATCTCTTACTATTTGATTTTCTGTCTTATTTATTATCTCTAGAAAAAAAAAACGGATATTTATAAATAAATAAATTGATAAATATATTTATTTTTGTATTAAAACACAATTGTTGTATAATATTATTTAATTACTTTACATAGAGTAAAATATATACATATACAATTTTATAATAATATACAAATACACCAAATTTTATGTCATACATAATAAAGATTACGTTCGGACGCTTAGATATTCTGGATCTACGCAGAGACAAATAATAAAAACAATGTATTAGTTTTACGGCCTTTTTTTTTTCTGTGGACAACTTTTCTACCAGCAATTTTGCTCCAATTTACAACGATAGCACTTTTACTAAAAGGAAATCTTACTGAGAAGGTACTTTAAAGAAGTCATTTTTTGATTTGAAAACCGGGAAAATTGGAACACTAAATAAATATTTTTAAAGAGAATATCTAATGCCTATTTAATTATTTTACCATAATATGACATATTTATTGTTGTTCGGATTATACCAACATTTCGTTAAAAACATTTGTATTTCAGGTATGAGGTGTGCAGTCACGCACAAATTCTCCAAATCGAAGGGATTTGTCAGTTTGTCAAACTTTTTCATATTCTGATATTCAAAACATCGAAAATCGCCTGTGTAAATAATATAATTATTAATATTCGATACAAAATATTTATATTGTACATAAAAATGTTATTTTTGTATTTTGTATTTTATTTGTTTTTCTAGTCAAAAACCGGTATTGTAATAATTTAAATCGTTCATTTTATTTATTATTGTTATTATTATAATTTCGTTATAGATAGAGTATAATAGAGTATAATGTCTACTATAATAATTATATGCTTTGTTTTTTACATTTTTAAAATAAAGGTCACCTTTAGTTGACGATCAAATACAGAAAACTAAATAAAAACTACCTATAATAAAATGAAAAAAAAAAAAAATATCTTTGTAAAACTTATACATTCTTTTTACACTCAGAGTCTAAAAGTACTATAAATATCCCTATTTATGTTATAAATAGGGCTCGGATTTATATGTAACTACATATTTTCCCTGTGACATGTTAAATTAATTTCAGCAAGTGATTAATTTGTTTCAAGTAATTTTCGATTAAATGAATATTTGATTTTATATAATTTGTTATGAATACATATTTATTAATTTTTGCATTTTTTTTATATATTTAGTCAATCTACTTAAGTGATACTTATTTTAGTGATAATATTGTTCAGAAATTGTTTAGTTTTGGTACATACTTGTTGTATCATACTTCATTACTTCATGTCATGACTGTAAAAAAACACAAGTTAAATGATACTTTGTTAGAAAAATGAGTCCTTCTTAAACAAAATAAAATGTTAATGTAATACTTTTTTTTTGATTGTATAATGAATAAAATATTATATTTTGAATTTTGAGTAAATTAATGATGATTTTTTTTTCTACAAATAATATGTTTTTTATTTTTCAGGGTAGAAATTAGGAAATTAATTTTTTTTTAAATTATTAGGATTTTAAACATGTGGATCTAAGGAGTAAGGATAGTTTCCAATTTTAGTTACCCTACCTTCCCAACTTCCCACCTACAAAAGTAGCTGCGCCCGTTCCCGTTGACAGTGACAGTGGATTGCGGACAGACGAGGAACCGAATAAATCAATGACACAACTTTTATATTGGCAATACAGATTAACACGACGAGATCTGGGTGATAAAAGCGGTACTACATAATGGCTGCTCGAGTTGAGACACTGTTTATAGATTTCACTGTGTATACTGTTACTGTACATTATATAATTCATACACAAAACTACGCAAAACATTATATTGTCTCATTATATTGAATATTATTATTTTATAATAATATAACATAATAACATAATATAATATGTATTTAATGATTTAGCATTTTTTATCTAAATTGTAACACCTAAGACCCTTATTTATTAATCACTAAACATGAATGTTTACTCTAAGTCTTGCTAATATTTTTGAGTAAGCACAATGTTCACCGAATAGGTACTCAAAATTATATAGAAGTTAAACAGGTTTTAAACTGCAAACATTTTATTGTATGCGGACAATTTGAACAATAATAGAATATTGTTGATTTATTAAATTATTAACTTTATTATTATAATAGTCTTCTATATAGGTATCTAATAAGACTAAAACTAGTACCACCAATATTTATTTTGTTCCACGTGGACACATTACATATTAGTTACATTTTAATCTAATAAAAAATGTAAGCATCTCCATAATTCACATTCATTTAAATTTGGGGCGCATTTAATATATTCAATTACCCACAAATACAAATAATTTAACTTTTAAAAATAACTTTTGCAAAGATAATGTACACACATATTTAATACCTATAATATGAGCATTTTTATGTTTATAGATTGATAACTTAATAGTCACAGGGGTAGTTATTCAGTCTTCTCAAATTCATCAAATGCCTCATTAAGTCACATCAGAATTGCACAGACAAAATAATGAATTAAAAATAATTAAGTTTACACGTAGTTACATAGCAAGACACTCTGGACCTTGTAAACATGTTGTGGCAGTATGATTAAACTTAAACAGATGTTTTAAATAGCATATATTATTATAATTTTTAATTATTTAATAGGTATATCGATTACTATAACTCCAATTACCTACTTATATATATTATAATTGTTTATAACTAGGAAATGTGTCTCATAATCGCTTCGCTCGCCAACACCCGTAACTCGTAATCATGGTTACGTAAATCCTTAATAACAAAACGCTTAATTTGATTTCTTTTTTCAGTCCCACCGTTGTTTTTTTTTTTTTTTTTGATTTTTGCGATAAAAATATATTGTATGGGTCCATAAATGTCGATCCAAATTATTTTTCATGAACTATTTTAACGCATTTAACATTTTGTAAATCTTTAACGTTTAACCTTGGAAAATTAAAAAATGGCCTTTCTTATACACCCAGCTAGATAAAATTTTCTTTCAGAAAAAGTGCTACATTTGATACATCGGAGTAAGTTTTTTTCGTAACGTTTTTGACAAACTGAAAAAAAATAAAAAAAAATAACATCAGTAAAACTAATAGACCACTCACTAGGCTCCAAATCTAAAACCTAAAAGCGAAAATTTTAGCTTAGTTTTTTGATAAATAACTATTAAATTCAATTTTAGAAGTTCGGGAAAACAGGTTTAACCTGACAGATCAGTCCCAAATTTTGGACAACTTTTTAATAACACAATAAATTTATATTTCACTACAGAGTTCACTATCAAATTGCTGACCGCGAACATTTGTTGGCCATTGTAATGTATTCCGTTTTGCTTTGTATTCTAAGATTAAAGGTGTTACTTTGATAAGACTCAATATAATTTTTTTTTAATATACACTAAATTACAAACTCCTGGACTCAACGTCCAGACGCGAATAGGAACTCGTACCGTAAGCGTTCCCGGGTAGACCGCATATCGTACTTTATCGTATATTTATTGCTTATGTCGTAGGAGCAGCTACTTCGAAGTAAAATTTTGCGGAACCACGATATAAATATTTAATATACATCGTGTGCGAAACTAATGTTTTTGTGGAACGAAAGTATCGTAAATTAATCCAAAAAATAGTGATATTATAAATTCAAAAAAAACTCCTTTCTGTAATCTAATTAATTTTAAATTAAGTTCATCATTAAAAAAAAAAAAAAAAAATACAGCGCAATATACATTTCAATTTTCAGTTGACCTATTATAATAATTTGAGAAAATTCTATTGGGAATAACAACGATTAATTTCAGTCTTTGAGTTCACAAATAAATTTCATATTGGTTATTTTATTATTAACTCGAAAAACAATTGAAGACCACAAATCGTTTCTAAGTATGTCTTTGGTGTACCAAATAAATTGCAAACCGTTTGGCTTTAACGATAATTTAAAACGGAGCACTTATTAACCATTTTAAAATTGAAAGTACTCGTATTTTACGTAATACAAATATAGGACAAATACCTACAGTACTACAGTAAGTCTTTGAAATCGATATAAGCACGCACAAAACAATTATAACAACGGAGCGGATAAAAAATCCGGTGAATAGAAATGATGAATAATTTAATATCGTATTTTATAATAATTAATGTTGTTGTTATTATATTATGAATATAACTAGAATTATGAATGATCTTTTTTAGAAAAACGTTTCACTGTTAGATGGTTCTAGTACACATATAAGAAATCCAATGACAGAACGTGTCACTGTTTCTCCCTGCTCCCACCCTACAGTGTGCCGTCCCATTAATCATAGTTCATGGTTTTAGCTGTTACTATAGGGTGAATTTAGATTATGTGAGTTACAGTTCAATAGTAAATTTACGATAAATAAAAACCAGAAACAATTTCTATTACCTACATGTAATGAGATATTACATCAGATATTTGTATGTTTATTATTAATTTAAATGTTTTCCATGTATTTTTTAGGTTATACAAAAATATCGAAATGTATATCCTGGCCACATAAAAACACTATGAGTAGCAAAAATACTAATTATTAATGTATTCAAGTGCTGTAGAAAATTTAATTTTAATTTTATATTCATTGTGTGAAATATATCTTATAACTTGACGTTTTTTATTTTAAATTTGATGTCTACAGTAATATGTATAGGTATATGAATGTAACAATTAAACATTCAATCTTCAGTGGTTTTTGATAATTAACATTTTTTTAGGAAATACAATTGTGTATAACACAACATTAATCAAAAGAATATATATCATAGGCGTGCGTACGGGGGCAGCAGAGACAACATATGCTACCCCTGGACTTTTTTTGGGGCTACCGCGGCCGGCAAATATTAGATAATGGGTCTCGGTAAAATTATATTTCCATAAATGATGACTGCTGTAGATAAAAAAATTAGAGCTTTAATTTTTTCATTTACAACTTTAATTATATGTCCATTTTTTTTTTTTTTTATAAACTTCTTCAGTTTTTTACCTACTGATTCGGAGTATAATTATTTTTAAAATATATATTTTGTATTGTTATTAATGTTTGTTTATTTTATTATATTATAAATAATAAATATTAACCATAGGCTTGTGGAAAAGTACACCTTAGTACCTTATTGTACTAATTTTTATCCAAAAAACAAATAACCAATACAATTTTAATTTTGATACCTACTAGTAAAAAAAGTAAAACCATGGGCTGGTTTTTATGGAGAATTTGGAGAATGGGCAGAATTAATCTCTTGCTGTCCCTGAAACCGGAGCCTGCGCACGCCTATGATAAATATTATAATATATATATATTAATATTCATTATTGTTATTTTAGATTTACAATGAGTAATGGTGAAAAATACATATTTTTATTTATAAACGATGCCACGCCTAAAATTACAATACAGTTTGCCATCCTGTATGGTAGCAGGGGTCACACGTGCCTTCCGCCGGCCACGAATTGTTCAAACGTTGGCACTACTTTTTTGTGTCTAAAGATCAATAATCTTTGTATTCGAGTTTACACTTCCAGAGCTCAATGTCCGTACGACCATACCGTATTTAGTCACTGTACCCATTGTTACTGGAAGCCATTGTTGCTCTTTTTTTCCTTCGCCGTCACCGCCCAACCCGTCGTTGTATTTTTCATCAAAGTTTTCTAATATTAATCATGTTAGTGTTAATGATTCCATTGTATTTAATTACCTGTTACTTGCACTATGAGGAGCAGGGCATGGAGACCGAAATGAAAATCAAGATATTTGTTGGAAAACAGACCGGAAGAGATTATTATGTTTATCATGCAGACGATGATCATAAGTTGTCGTTTCTTATGGGAGATACTTACAATCAGTTCCTTCGATTGGATTCAATGACCAAATTTGACGACTACATTGTAGACTCTCCGTCAAATACTTGTGTGGTGCGTGTCATATATGATTTACTTGTCAACATCACCACTATTGTTGACGATAAAGAAAAATATTGTTTCATCATGCCTAACACAAGCGTGGTTTTATTTTCATCCACACCACATTTTCATATGAAAACAATGACCAACCTTATGCCAATAACCGACTATTCAATTAAAATTAACCTAAATACTACAGAGTTAGAGAAGTTCATGCGTAATATGATTTTAGTCAAACCCTCTATCAATAATGTTTCTGCTTATGGTTTATACACATATAAAACCTGTGCCCGCTATACCACCTTCAACTTGAAAGCAAAGAAGCCCATCAAAAAGGTCTAAACGCCTCAACATTTATCAGTTCACATTAGAAGGTATAAAAAAAAAATGTATATCTAATTAATTCAAATTAATAAAATTAGTTTTAATTTTTCTTTTCTTTTAATTTTTTTATGTAGTTAATTAATTGTTCTTTACTTAGCTGTGAACCATTTTTGGATTAAAACATTGATTTTGGGTCTTGGGAAAAAATGTCAAACTAGGAAAAGGTCTCCACAGTCTGATGTTTCATTAAATGTTTTTAAAAATTGTTATTTTAACCACATTAGCGCTAAACTTTTCAGAGCCATACATTTTTAAACTTATTTTTGTTAAAATATATTTACCATAGGACCTATATTTATATAAATATAAAATAATATACAATATTTAATTAAACTATATTTTATGGATATGCGTACTTCAATAGTTTAATTTATATAAATGTGTACATTCTTTTTTTCAGTCTGTATTTGTAAGCCACCACCATCATGTTGATTTAGATATCAAGATGACAAGATAGTTGCTGTGGACGATCAAATTCAGACAAGAACCCAAAAACATTAGTAAATTTGTTGACCGTTTAATAATTTTATAAAAATTATCTCTTATCGTCTTTAGACATTCACATTATATAATTTGTAAGTTAAGCCTAAGGATGAGTATCTTATATTGATCTCTATAATGGGAGTTTATTGTGAAATTATTTTCATACATGTGTATGAAATAATTTTAGTCCCCTTCAAAGATAAACAGATTAAAAACAAAATAAAATTTAATATTAACAGTGCTAGAAATAACACTGTGGGACACACTGTATGGTTAGAGAATTTTAATATTGGATATTGAGTTCCACTTAAAATAATAGTTATAGTCATTATAGATACTTGAGTGCTTTAAAAAAATAAATCAATAGTATTGTATAATTTTATGAAAATAAATAATTAAATGCTTTATATTGTTTCTTAATAGAATTTCTAAGATCTGCAGAACTATAATGATAATTCAGGAGCACCTCATTGTGTACTTTAGTTAGGTTTTGGTTATGGTATTTACCATAAATAGATCAAGGTGGTTTTACTATATATATATATATTTCCATCAGTTTTATAAATATGATATAAGTTTATAATAATTGTATTTACTATTTAGTACAGTTTGAATATAATAATTAATAATAAAATACACCATTTTTGAATATTATTATATATTTCACATAATACAAACTATACGTTTTTTTTTTGTATACAAATATATCTCATTTGTAAATAGTAGATGGATATATAAAAATAAACACACACTATACATAATCACAATAAAGGATTAAATAAAACAAATAGGTAATATTTTAAACTCTGTATGAGAATTTAATATAGGTACATAAATGTATATCTTTTTATTAGCAACAAATCGCACAGCAAAGTAAATTTATATTATTATATTATTATTAAAAATACAAATTATAAATAATTGCAATTTTAATATACATAAATTAATTAGTAATAAAATACATTTTTAAAAATATCTATTTATTTAACATATTTTATGTAAAAAAAAAAAAGTCATAAATGCTTAACATACTTTGATTAATAATTTTTTTGACGTTAATGGTGATGATCAGTCTGCTAGAATTATTCAATTCCATAATATTGTAAACTAATTGTGATACTCTATTAGACCAATTTAACACAGTTTCATTTGGTATGACTATAATTAAAAATATCTTATGTAAGATTCTAACATAAGGTAGGTACTCACATATTTGTTGATAGACATCACTTCCAACTCTTATGTCTTCAATTCTTTTCTGAGACCGCTTTAAACTCTAATAATCTTCAGGGGTTACTCTAAATTGTTGAGATACTCTTTTAAAACTCATACATATTTAACTGGTTTTGATTTCAAGAATCATTAATATGATGGAATAACGAAAAAATTAACAAAAAAATAGAACTTGAATAAATATAAAATTAAAATTGTGACTATAATTAAAACTGTTTAATAAAATAATAAAGTAAAAACAACATTATTAAAATGGTTAATACTCGTAAATAAATATAGAAAATAATTATATAAATAAAAATTGAATAAACGAAGAATGTGTTAACTGGAGTATTATGATAAGTGTATTATACAATCGGTTTAAAATTAAAAATTCATCATCAGGTATATCACAGTCAAAATGTAAAACGCGACTGAATGTAAAAATCAAACGAAGGAATACAAAGGAAAAAAAAAATTATACAAAATTGATTGTTTTACATAGAAATAATTTATATTAATAGGAGAGATTATTTAAATTTGGTTATTATTAGACATAGATATGTCAAGAGTTATAAATTATTTTATTTTTATTTATTATCTAAAATGTATTGATATAAGATATTATTTTTAAAATCTATTTGTATATTTAAAATATTATTTAAATTATTCTACTTAATTTCATTGAATATGTATATGCAATTCTTCTAAAAACTAAATTAATGTAAATGCTATTTCGGGTATTTAATATCTCTAAGTCTGTATTAATATCAAAGCTTCTATTATGGTTATTTTCTAAAACATGTTTAGCGAAATTTGAATTAGCAGTAGTTTTTTCTAATTTTATTTCAGAATTGTGTTCTTTATATCTTATTTTAAAATTTCTATTTGTCTTACCTACATACAATTGATTGCAGTTACATTTAAGTTTATATATACCAGCATTTTTAAAAAAGCGGGATTTTTTGTGTAGATTTTAGTTCTATCGTTTATATGTTTGATTGAATTATCATTAGTTTTAAAAGCGATTTTTGCATTATTTGTTCAGGAGGTTAGTGAATTTTTTAGATATATTATTTTAATATTCCATACTACAATAGTTAACAACATTATTCGGTGAGTTGTATATTATTTTTTCTTTAATACGTTTATGAATTTTTCTATCAGTATTTAAAGTGAAATTATTTCTATGGGCTGTATATTATAATTAATATTGAGCTCGTGTTGATAATTATGTTTATTTGATGGAATCCGTTCAAGCCTATAGAACATTAAATATAAAAATGACGTCCTAGGATAATAGGGACGGGCGCAGTCACTGTTATAGATAATCTCATGTGAAAAAATGATTCTGAGCGGAGTTCAGTTTATGGCGATGCTTTGTCAACAATATTTATGTCATTGTTCGCGCATCGTTATCACCGGTACCCACCAGCGTTATCGGACCCGCCGTCCCGCACCCCTGCCACCCCCTGAGCTTTGTCGACGCGCGAACCGGTACCGCTCGCCAGTTCGACCAGTGTGTGCGACCTTTGCCGTACACCCGTTGCCTTTCGCCTGCGTTCGTTGTTGTGTTCGGTGCCGGGGTCGCGTTTTGGTTTCCGTAGTCGTCCATTGATGTTGTCGGGGCGTTTGTCGACTCAAATTTCAGCGCGAACGCCCGCATATCACGTAATCGCCGTGTTTCACGTCGACACCGCTCGTGTCTACGCCGACGAGCCGTTTTTTGCGCCGTGTACGTGTGCGACGTGCTCCGTCGTCCGAGCCTCAGTTAACGGCAGCTCAATCAAGCTCGTTTATATCCGCTACGTTTCGTTTCGTTACGCGGTCGCGCAGTATCATCCGCTTTACGCGATTTTGCGCCCGTGCATCGTTGACCGCTGGTTGGTGGGACAATTGTCCTCCGCGTTCCGCCTAACCTCAAACGGAGGTCGGAGCCAGAGCATCGCCACCTCGTGGGACTTTTGTCGCCGTCAAATCGCCACGATCGCCGCTTATCTGCCAAACCACATTGACCGCCGCCGATAACACCTGGTCGTGATTCGTAATAGCTTTGTATAATATGCTTTTTTTTCGTATCAATTTATAGGTTAGCGACCGTTTGTTTATGTACACCCGTGTGATCAAAGTTTCCGGTTACACCGTTATTATTTTCATTTTGGTACTATGTTCAATCATATATTTGTATTGCGCGCAAATCTAACTGTAGTCAACCCTGTACCAGCTTATCTCTGTTTTGTATATTTAAATATAAAACGTGTGGGCCTTGCCGCACGTCCCCGTTAAATCATTTGTTTAACGTCATTTATAAGTGTGGTCGTCTGGGCCATAATCCCCAGACATCCTAAAATATTCGTCTGTTCTCCGACAATGTAGTTGTTGATGCTAACCGCCCATTAGTAGGAGCATCTCGGCTAAACAGTCATCTTATAGTAATACAAATTAAATAGGCTTTATATATTTTCTTTAATAATATTTGTTTAATGTTGTATCTATTTTTCCGGCTTTTCCCATTTATTGGGAAAAAGTATCCTAAAGTACCACACTCCATGTAGATTTCCTTTTAGAAACAGCGCAATTGTTGTAAATCGGAGCAAAATTGCCGATAGAAAAGTTGTTCACAGGAAAAAAAAAAAAAAGTCCATAATATTTAACTAATACAGTTCATTTATCTTTCCGTTTTCCCATTTGTTGGGCTTATCGTATTTCATGCATGGAGCAATAGATATCACCCCCATGGTAAATCGTATTGTAGTAATGTAACGGTTGAGGGTATGTTTATTGTAAATATAAAATTATTATTATTCAACTTTTAAAACTATGCATATTGTTTAGTTATTTTGTTATTTGGGCTTATGGTATACATCTTATTATTAAAATTTTTTTATAATTATAAAATTAAGTACAAGATCTTAAGAGTTAAGACAATTATAAAAATAGGAATTCGGCAGAATTATTTTTTTGTTTTAATATTGGTATTATTTACTAGATTGGCCATAGAAGGGGTGGTGTGGTTGACAAAGCCAAACACTGGTTTATGATTAATGTATAGTGAAAACCCTAACCAAACTAAAGTCCTGCGTACATTACTGCGTGTATATTATAATAGTCGATAAAATATAGTATTGATCAATGCGTAGCCAAATAAAATATCAAGATATTGTTGTTTTAGTTACATATTTAAAATTTCTTGAATATAAGCGAAATAACAGTAGTTCCATGTCATATACTGCGTATTTGCTTATTATTGGGATTTACTGTACGAGGTGTTATCAAAACGTTCCAGGACTGTTTGAATTGCGCGCCAACGGACCGTCCAAGAGCAGTAGGATTTATATTACTGGGCTGTATGACTTTCCCTGGGCACATTTGTTTTTGTAGAATGTTTATAACCTTTTTTTATTTTGATGTCATTGACGTTTTTGTAAAATATTTTTTTCGCATTTAGCGATTTTCTAACAAATCCAAAAGAAGAGCTTTATTGGAAGAGAGGTGGTTGAGAGGATATTTACTTTCATTTGTTGACAGAATCATGTTTGGTAGAGGAATTCATCGTTTAACACGACTTTTGCCAACAAAGTGCAACTAAAAACCTGCAGAAGTGCCGAGTAAAAGTTTTTCTCGAGAATGTAGAGGAGGGCCCAGTTTAGATTAATCAGGAAATTTTTGGTATGATAAATGATATGGTAAATAAAAAAAATTTTGACGATTTATTATAATAATAATCATTACCTGTATCATAATAGGTTAGCATTGAAATTAAAGAAAAATCTCCAACCAACTCCCCCCTTCCCTCCAAAAAAAAATGTTTATTTATTACAAAATCGCCAAATACGAAAAAAAATATTTTAAGAAAACATCGATCACACCGAAACAATGAAAGTTATAGAGAATCTACAAATACAGATATATTCAGAAGAAGTCACAGAACCCATTAACCCAGTGATATCAATCCTACTGCTCTTGGACGCTCCGTTGGCGCGCAATTCAAACAGTCCTGGAACTTTTTGATCACACCTCGTACTTTTGCTTCTTGTTTAACGAAAATTATGGATTTACTGTTTATTTTCTTAATTTCCGTTGCTTATTTTAAATGTTAAATATTAGATATACTACTTTTTTATTGCAAAAAAGGGTGCAAAACCGCATTTTTACCCTCAGAATCCAATATCTCAATTTTGATAATACTGCTTATTCGCTTAGCGCGGCAGATATGTGACACGGAAGATAGCTGTAGCTAGAGGAGGATAGGGATGCATGTAGAGGAATCTGTTTGTTGGCATGATCTCAATGACCGAGAGCTAATGAAAAAGAAAAAAATATATTTTGTTTGAATTCATACACGCTTCGACAGCTTGGCATTTGAAGTCTGCTGCAAGTATACCTATATAATAAATAACAATTATAATTATTATTAGTTTAGTTAACTGCTAGTATAAATAAATATGCCAATATATCGAATTTAGAAACATTTTGCACGTTGATATAAATATAATATACTTTTGACAATTTATAAATATACAATATACAGAGTGATCAATCTTCGATTAGATAGGTAATCATTATTTCGGAATATCTCTAAAGTATAAACGTTTTACGAAATTTATTTTTTAAAAAAGTTAAAAGAAAAAAGCAGCTCTAAAATTTTACATTTGCGTAATTCTTTCGTCATCCTTATTGTAGGCGGTGAAACACTGAAACCACAATCCACTTTTGATTGTCCAATAGCATCATATACACTAAGAATGAATAGATTTTTGGCTTAAAAAAATTCGGTGTTGAAATTTTTAATTTCCGTCAGATATTCCACGTTCAAGATGGGTTAGGGTAGACTAGTATCCCAAAACGGTAGTGTAACATTTTGAAGCCTCCTGTTTCATTATTTATTTAAAAAATGAAAAACAAAAAGAATTCCAAAAAATAGTTAATACTTTTCCAGATGACGAGTGCTTTATCGAGGACTGATCACCCTGCACAGTACGGATACAATAAAGTATTATAAAGTCGTATTTAAAATATTATGTTCTACGAATACAATTTAGTAAATTACGTATGAAACAATATGGTTTTGAACATGGAAAATATTATTACCCGTCCATTATAAATTATGTCAAATATACATAATAATTACAATTTATTACCTTCGTATATTAATCTCATCGTCATCGTTATTATTAATTGTCAGGACTCGTTCCGTTACTCAGCGACGAGGAAATAGTCGCCATTGAGATCTGATTAAACGCGAAGAGCTGTAGTAATAAAGCTATGTACGCCAACGTAGTGCCGAATCCCTATATAGAAACAGAACAACCACGAATATAAATTACAATATATGTTCGTGTAAACAGCCAATTAGTTTGCATCAAATTCCATAAAAATCTTACTGCGTAAAATAAGGCCATGTTGATGTTCAAAACGCCAAATATTTCGAATTTGGATTTGATCACGTCGAGTTGGTGTTGAAACAAAATTATCTGCGAAAATCGTACATTTTACCAGTTTAAATGTCATATGTCTATGTACCTGTATGTTTAGATGCTGAGCGAAGCGAGGAATATATTAGTTTTACAATGATGTTTATTTGTTTTATCTGTAAACAAATTTTCTACCAGAAATCTTGCTTCAATTTTCAATTTCCTTTTCTGAAGGGAAATTTTATCTGGGTGATACTTTAAGGAGGTCATTTTTTTTGATTTCCCGAGCAGTTTACATAATAATTAGGAAGAGCCGGGGAAAAACTTAGGAAAAACGTCAAAATTTACGAAATGCATTATTTTCATTGCTTGTAGCCAGAGGCGAAACTAGAAATATTTTTCTGTATAGGCAAGATAAAATAATATAGATAATGTTTGAATAGGAAAGACTACTAAATACTTATACAAATTTTCGATTTTAAAATTGTGTTTGTTTTCGGAAAAAAGTGAGCAGGCCCGGGCTTATCAGGCCTATCCCCTAGCTACGGCCACTGCTTGTAGCCGATTATAATAGAAAGATCTACTTTTAAATTCACGTTGTTTCCATTTAATGAAGCATTGTATTGTTTTGAAATATCGTATCCTGGATTTTTACCGGATCTGGTCCTACCACGCTATACCACAGTTTTCTGCGTTATCATTTAATACTTCTAGAAAAACTGAACACAATGTTTAACTTTTGAATTGTGAGTATTTTTTTTTCCTGTGGACAACTTTTCTACCAGCAATTTTTCTCTGATTTACAATGAAAGCACTTTTTCTGAAAAAAAATCTGACTGGGGAGGTACTTCAAGGGGGTCATTTTTTGATTTTCCCAGGAGTTTTCCCAATAAATGGAAAAACCGGGAAAATCGGTACAATATTAAACAAATATTAATTATTAAAGAAAATATATAATGCCTATGTAATATTATTTTACCATAATATGATATGTATTGTTAACAAAGTGACTCTTTCAATTGAACTTCGCTCAGAATCGTTTTTTAAGTGTGCTTTACCTCGGGAATCAGTCGTCGGCTTGTGATGGGATTCAAAATCAACGAGAGCCAGCTCAACGATAAACGCATCGGTATAATCTATATGTGATCAAACAGAATAAAAAAAAAAAAAAAAAAAACCCGTCGTTAATTCAAATTAAGAGAAAATTATTGTTGAACAGAAAATCCGGTTGGATTAGTATATTTCGTTTTGACGTTTTGATTTGCAGTTGTTTTTGAATTCGTTTACTCGCGGTTTCTTATCGATATTCGCGTAATTACAATTCAAACCACGGTGCGCATACAATTATTGTGTAAACGTACGTAGGCTCGGTTTTTCAAAACGAACCGTAATCTGACGGCAAACGCGGTTTCGGCGGAATGTCCGTTCGGAGGTCTATTGCATAAAAACCCGACTACCTGGGGGGGGGGTTTGCGTTTTTCGGGCCGGAGCGTACGACGAAACGTCGCACGACCCCCTCGACACCCGGCGGACAGTTTGCGAAAGACGACTAATCGCCGTCCCCCAGTAATCTCGAGCGGCCGCACACGATTGCGCGCGTTCGTCCTTTTTGACAACACGACCGCGTATATTTCTCGATAGCCGGAAGAATATCCGAACGGAAAATAATACCGACACGATCGCGTGCAACGACGTTGTCGACTGTATGCTCAATAATTGCCCAGCGCAATGGTCTTATCCGGACCGCAGAACGTCGTTTTACCTGACGAAACGACGAACGAACCGATTGAATCGTAGCTGAACATAGAAGTTATTTTTCACGTACCTACATTATAATTTCCGAACGCCTGTATTCATACACTTGTTACACATCCGAACACCGCAATGCATTTTTGTACGGATTGTTCGTTCGTCGCAATCTCGTTTACGGTATTTCGGAATCCGGATAAAATACTATTTACCCGTCGTCTCTATTTCCCCGGGGGTCACCGGTCGATCGTGTCCTATTAAAATCGAAAAACGCCGACCGTTTTCCATTTTCGGATTTTAAATGTTCACCGGAAATCGCCGGTACCGCTGGACGCCGATCAAACGCGCGCGACGCGTGTACGGCTGACCGACGGGCGGTAAATACCGCGCGCGTGCATGTTTTACACCCGGGACGGGACCCGGACGCGGCCGCTGTTCGGCCGGTGGGGGGGGGGGTGGTCTTCGCGTCGACCGTGACGCGCACGTGATAAAACCGGTGTTCCCGGACGCGATACGATTACGGCGGCGGATCTTTTGTCGCCGCGGTGGTTGACGGCGCGATCGGCGTAATAAATCGCGAATGCCCGGCGTGACGCGTTTTTCGGCGACTCGCGTGCCCGCGTTTCGGATACGGTCGAGATTCGCGCCGGGTTTTCCGTTCGCACGAGCAGAGCAAACAAACAACGCGTCCCGGACTCGGGGTAGCTCGCCCGGCCGTTCCGGGGTGTTGCCGTCGCGCGTTACCTTTTTGGTGACGTAGTGTTCGCACATGTGCAGGTACCACAGTCGGACGACCCTGACGACGCAGTAGCCCGTCCACAGGGCCGTGTTCACGTAGTTGATGTGTTTCTTTTTCTCCCATATGACGATGGTCACTTCGAACGCGACGCCGTACATGTAGACGACGATGCGAAACATGCAGTCGAACATGCACAGGGACAGCGGCAACTGGAACAGGAAATTGATGCGGGCGAACAGCTCCATGCAGGCGCGGTGGACGGCCCTGAGGTCGCGGATGTCGGAGACGCTGAACGCGGGTATGCCGACCGGGGCTACCGGGCCAGCCTCTCCGCCGCCCGCCACCCGGCACCTCCACCGCGGGTGTTCGGCCTTGTGCACCAGTGTCTTGATGTCGTTGTGCAAGATCCGGAGCCGAAGATACAACGATATGCACATCAGGTAGAAAAACTGCTCGATCACGATGCATGTGATGTTCGACAGCGGCGGGAACAGGCAGATCAGCTTGGCCGAAGCAAACGTGAATCTACAATAGACATAAATATGGTATATCACGCGATGGATATGCAAGGCGGACCGTTTGAGCGGGCCCACTCGTTGTCTAGGAGCGTCGTTAACTTTTTCCGGGATTTGTTTGACAGAACGCGTTCGAAAGAAACAGCTCTACAATTTCACTTCACCTACTTTCCGTGCACTTTATTTTCGGGGACTACTTTTGATTTTTACACGGCGACCTGTATTACGAATTCCATAAATACAGACATAGCGTTTGTTAAAATACGCGTTGCTGGTTGAAATGTTTGATATTCGTCAATCCATTGACGAGACATTTCGCTTTTAAGTTTGGGCAGGGGGCAGTTGTAGTGGTGTACCAAAACTAATCACCTGTTATTTTACGACTCCCTTATTCCCTTATCACTTAATATTTATACCCCTTCAGTTTTACAACGTTAAGTCAAAACAAAGTTTTTGGTCTTTTCGAGACAATATATGGATCGCTAATTGCTGCAGAAAGAGGACATGTCCCTAAACAAAATTTCACAGAAGGCGTGAAGAACAGCCTACGCAAGACTGAGAAGAAGCTACGCGATAAATCGGATTATTTTTCACATTTCAAACAATTAATCATCTCGATATTTTATAAAAATTAACATAAACGCACCTTTTACAGTCATTTTTCAAATTTTCGGGCATATTATTTTTCTGCACTTACCGTTTTAAATACATTTAAAACACAGATATAATAATGAAAACATTTTTTTTTTTTTTTGTAAAGAATAATTTTTCATTCTCTTAAGCAATTTGTAAATGTAATTATTTAATTATTTATCTAATACTAAAGTTTATTATTGAAAATGCTAACGAGTGGGCTACCCGTAAATTGTTCACCAAAGTCTGGAAACAGAATCCTCTGGGACTATTCAAATCGTTCGTTTTTTAAGTCATAATCGGAATCTTTTAGGTGTATACAGATGCTTCTCGGGTAGCTCGAATAGCGAAATATTTCGGTTTTTCTGCAATCATTGAATCGTGTATCATACGTAATAATATAAACCGATATATTTTACAATACTTATGACAGTGAGAGCACTCTGTATTACTAACAATACTCGGTCTTAACATAGCGAATTTGTGTAAAGTAATATTTATTTAAAAGGAAACAAAGATAAAGGGGGGGAGTTGTAGCGGCAAGTGCCCCCGGCATTTTCCCCTGGCTACGACACCGTGCAGTAGAACACGTTGGCGCCGAACGCCGGGTGGTTACTGACTGTTCTATTAGCAGTTTAGAGGACCCGTGCGAGGAGTACCTATTACCAGTCCGCCGTTGCCATCGTTTATTGTTCGAAAAAAATTAGCACGCGCTTTGTTCAGAGATTACTGACTTGTACGTGATCAGGAAGTAGTACATGGCCAACTCGTAGGCGACGAACAGCAAGATGCCGAACGCGGAGCAAAACTGCCAGACTCCGGTTACGCCGTCGTGCGACGGGCACAGGTCGAAGAAACACTCGTTGACGGCCCGGGCGACGGACGGCCAGAGCATGTGGGCCTGGCACGCTGCGGTGGCCGCCATGCCGGCGAACATCATGTACACGAACAGTTCGTCGATGTCCAACACGCGGGTGGTAAGTATCTTTTTGGTGAGCTTCTGGTAGTTCAGCAGATTCCGGATGGACGTGACGCCGACGACCAGCGACACCAGCCAGTAGAAAACCGTCTGGAACGCCTTGAGCGCCAGCCCCGGCCAATGGACCCGGAACCGGCCGGTGTCCGCCACGGCCGGGAAAACGCCGAACAAGTATGCGCAAATGTGCAGCGGCCCGTAGATTTGCATGGCGTCGTGTAAAGTTATAATACGACGATGCGAGTGAACGCGCGCGGTGTAATTCGGTCGCAGTGCACGACGCAGTTCACGCGGTCGGAGTGTGTCAAAAAGTTTAGCGTAAAATACGAATTAAAACAAAGAGAAAAAAAAACCGCCACACCCCCGAACCGCGCCCCCCGCCGTTATCGTGCGACCCGTGACACGGAATACGCACGGAAACAATATCGGCGACAATCGTGCGGATCCGGGGTGGGCGGAACGGGCGGGCGGACGGTCAGGTTCTTACGCGACCGAGCGATGTCGTCGCGCGCCCTATAATTACGTCGTTATTTTGCCGTCGTATATTAATAATTGTGTCGCGTTATTGTGCGACTGATATTACGCGCGCGTTCGAATTTCCCGAAGACAATGCTGCCGACGAACAAAATAGAAAAAAAAAAACAAAAAAAAAGACACTCCCCGTAGTCGTGAAAATCCAATTCGCTCGGGGGCGCGCGTTCCATTGTGAGGGTTTCCGTTTTTGAATGCGTACACGACGGTATACATAGTACATTGTGTATGCGTGTTAGCTGACCCGGCGACGCTTTGCTATCGCTAGATAACGGTGTACATAATAATTGATTGCGGTGGTTTTCTTGTCCGCGACAAGTAAAATTATCATCTGTATCACCATGGCAACCCACCAATAAACAAAAACAAATAAACAAATAAATTCGCATAGAAAAATTCGTCTCGAAAATGCCCGAAAACCCCTGTGTATAGTTTGTTCGCGGTATCGGGAATGGAACGTTGAAGACAACATCCCATCTTTTAAGTCGGCTGATTAAAATGCCGATTACGATATTTTTCGATATTGTTATTACGATTGAGACGACCGTTATAAACACGCCGGTTATTATTATCGTTTATTAACATTACTGAAGTGTTGATGATTGTTATGACGCCGTATTGATTATTATAAGTGATCGTTATATCTATTTATTACCTATTGCGCTTTTTATTAAAATGCCGATTACGATTATGATCTGTGATGTGCTCAATATCATTATCATTTTATTAAAATACCGGTTATAATATTTGTTAATGATTATTATCATTATTAATGATGTTTGTCAGGTTACTATGCTGATTATTTTTATTAAAATGCCGATTATTATTATTATGATTTTGTCGATAATTATTATTAAAATAATCAAATTAAATAGGACGGACATGCTTCGCACGCAGATACAGCCACTGTTGTTGGTGGAAAGTTGACAAACGAGAATTCAATGTATATCTGTAAATAACGATTGCTAACGAAAAACGATTCTGAGCGGAGTTCGGTTGATAGTGTTGCTTTATTAACAATATAAATCTTTCAATCTTTTTTAACCTAAAGAATCGGGTTTTTCTTGTTATCTCGAATATTAATGAGAAAAAAATTACAAAAATAATATTCATCAATTTACTCGAAATTCTTTCTCGTTTTTATATTTGAAAAAGAATGCGTTGCAAGAAGTCTATAGGATAGTAACAAGCTCGTTTCTAACATTTCCTAGTAATAATAATCAACATATTTTAACAATCATAATAATATAATACAGTCAAATTGTTATTATTATTATTTTTATTATTGTTGTGGATTAGTATCATTAAAATATTCATAATTATTCTTATTCATTATTATTATTCATGTGAATCCAACTTTTAATCGTAAATCGATAATTAATGATGTAGGAACGTTTTTACTATTAATATCATTTCGAGCCTGTAGACGATTCCTTCACTTTAATAATCAACATCAAGGATAGTTTCTAATTAGCAAATTTTGTTTAGTTATTATTTATTTGATTATTGCTTAGAAAAGAAAATTACCTAAAATTAAATAGTTGTCTTTATTTTTTTATCTGTGAACAACTTTTTCTACCTGAAATCTTGCTTTGATTTTCATGTAATTTGTTGAGGTAATTTTTTGATCTTCTAAATGGTTTTCAAAAAAAAAAAATGGGAAAAATCCGGAAAATTGACGAAAATAATGCTTTTATTTTTTTCCATAATGTTTTATTGTTGTAATTCAATTTAAAATGTTCGTAAATATTTGAAATTTGAACAGAAGCATTAGTGGTCACCGTTTAATGTAATCACTTTGGTACGTGACATAACTGATAGTATAATCCGATTGATAACACTAAACATAAGTTGAAAAAATAATAAAACATACTTTAAATAATAAAAAGTAATAATAATAAATATTAACTACTACTAATTTGAACAATATTTTTTTATTAATGTATCTTTTTTTTTTACCGTTAAGGACCATTGATAAAATGTTCGTATTTGTATTGTAATTCAAAATTTGATGACAGTTATTGCACTTCCCTTCTTAGTACTCGTAGGGTCTCTTTCATTTCAAAAAAACTTGGAGGTTTTTCAGTATCTGTTTGTGGCCCGAGCTCAATTTCTTCATTTTAAATTTTTCCAGGTTCGTTTGTGATAAAGCATGTACAATATCTTCTTCAGTAAAATTTGATATAGTAGGTAAATTTTCATCCATTTTCAATCAATTTTCACTATAATATCAATGTGTAACATTTTTATCTTTATTATGAGCTGAATTATTATATTTATTATTTTTCTTATCTTTATTACGAGACAAAAACTTTGATCGTACGTTAAATATACTCATACAATGATTTCAAACTGATAACATTATGTGGCGTATTGATTACAATAACCGACATAATTTACACATATAATTATACATCCGGCCCGTACTTATATTTATCGATAATAATAAACGATTGATAACATTGACCGTGATTATAATAAGTGGCGAACACTGTATTTGTCTTTTATCGACGTGGTAAAATTGTATAGACGTAATGATAATTTAATTTTGCGAGTTTTTTTACGAAATATTTATTCGGTAGATACATTGTGGATAAAATTGCATAGACGTAATGATAATTTAATTTTGCGAGTTTTTTTACGAAATATTTATTCGGTAGGTACATTGTGGATAAAATTGTTAGACTAAACAGAAATGCTTGGAAATTTAACAAGAGGTTTATAATGAGTTGTACTTAGTGTTCGATAAAAAAAAGTCGGGAATAAATTAGTATTTTTTTTTTAAAATATATAAAAGTTTTAATATCAAATTTTGACGAAAATCGTAAATATTACGGACTTTCAAAACATGTTTTACCGAACTTCGTTAAATGATTATTATGATTAACATTTCAGATTCGGAGCATACCGAGAGATTTATTGGTTTTACTATGATGTGTTTTTTTTTTTTTTTTTGTTACACCTATGTAGATTAAGGTATATTGATATATTTTCGGTTATAGAAGAGCAACTCCAAAAGTTTTATAGAACTTAATTTATAAACCGAAATTTAAATGTGTGTTATAGTAATAGACGTTCAATGTATTTACCTAAGTGTATAAACTATTATATTCATGTAACGTTTTTCCAAACTGTAATTTATCATAAGCAAAATTTGCAAATAAATATGTTAAAAATGCGTCGAGTATATAATAATAAGCACATACGGAAACTATTCAAAGATGAAAGTTTGAGAGAGATGAAACTTTATACATTTTATAAAAAAAAAAAAAAAAAGTATTTTGCCAAAATATTCAGTTTTTAAGTAACGAAACTCAATTTGATCATACAAAAATATAATACAGTTTATTAATAGGTCACCAGTTTTGTAGAATAAATAAATATTCAACCATTTATAAATTCAACTTCAAATATGTTTGAGCAAATTAATTGTTCGAGCCAATTTTTGAACTAAAGATAGATTAACTTACCATGATATTTAGTTTGATAAAAATTACATTTACAAGTTTATACGAAAGCCAAAAATATTCAGCATTTCTAAAAGTTATACATAACACCTATACGATTGTCACTGATGCAAACTCGTTATGCGCGAACAGTAAAGTAATAATAAATATAAAAAAATGTCCATATTTTTGATTATCTCATCAATTTTTTGGACAGGGAATAAATTAAAAAGTGATAGAGAATATACTGTATTATATTTTAATTTTAATAGGCATAATATTTTGTGAGAAGTAGAAACGATATGATGAGATCTATAGTCGAGGAACTATTTGGAAGTGCGAGGCTTATTGTAAATGGAATCCAAGAAAGAAATAGACTGAAAACAAAATCTTCAGTCATTATTGTTTAGGGAGATATAATGGTAGTTAAGATGAAAAAATGTCGGTGGATAAGAAGGTGTGGAAAACGATAATGAAGGTACATAATATACAGTAACGCGCCCAGGAATGTTCATTATGGTAGGACACGTAGTTAATAATTATCATGTATAAATTATAGAACTGTTTTCTATCATTTTTCTTTTTTCCAAAAAAGTCTATTTGTCTTCTATAAATCAAGCTATTCCTTGTAAATCGGTTGAAATAAATACTTTTTAATATTAAATTACCATGTTCATAGTTGTTGTATTGTCAAACCGATCGAGAGGGGATATAATTCCCAACTTTCCCTCCCCTGCATGCCCGACTGGTATTAAATTCCTCTTGCGCGAGGTAAATGCAAATACTAATAAAAGAAAGCGGACGTATTTATTTATATAGTTGCAAAGTAGTAAGTACACCGCATACAGAAGCGGTGTGGCCTGCGAGAAATTCGTTGTATTTTAATGTTTTATGCGTGAAGACTATACAACATAATTTCAACCCTCTGTTGATGACAATACTGGGTATAATTAATGATTAGTTACGATAACACAAATAAAAATCATAGGATTTCAATCGTATTTAAACATAAATTAACAGTTTAAATAATTTCCTAATTGTATACATCTATGATCAGTAATTAACATATACCAAATGGTCAAATTAACGTAATATGCTGAGAATTATTTATAATAATGACGGACATACTTCGCGCGGTGGGCGGGCCGCTGTTGTAGGTGAGAAGTTGGGAAGATAGGATTTAGAGGAGAATTTAATGTGCGACTGTACGCAAATAATTAATTATCGCTAAAC